ACATGATGGGTCGGTTGGACAGGACATACAAATCCAGCAATTCACTTCGTTTTCGACAATCCTTCGCCCCGGTCCCTCGGGCGGGAGCAAATCAATAAAATAATGCCCGGCGTACATGTAGAGGGCGGCCCCCCTGCAGTCTGCAGTCATAGAATCCGACAAACTCACACTTGTTCTGAGAGCCACCGGCCACCGCCACCGAACTGCGCAGACCTGCAAAGTGACCCGGCGGCTGGCAGCAGCGGAGGAGCGAAACGGGGTGTCGGCGGCGATGATCCCACCGCCAACAAGAGGGCGAAGGGGGGGGGGCGGGGCCGGGGGCCAGAACCGAACCCGCCCCCTCGAGATCGTGAAGCTGCAGAAGCGGACCAGGTTCGTCACCGCTCTGAACACGGTGCACAGGGACGCGGTGAACAGGGACACGGAAGCGCAAAAGGTTATCCAAGAAGCGGCCGCGCTTGCTGCCACGAACCCGGATGCCGAATCCGACGAGTCGCTCATGCTCAAGAGCCCATACTTGGAAGCTTGCCAGCACTGATTCAAACTGGTCCATTTAATGACAATTTCATTGCTTCTGTGTCTGTGCATATGCTGAATCTGAACTTGAGCTGTACTGTATTACTGTCACATTCAAATCACGTGGTTGTGAATCACTGCTGCAGTGGCAAAGCCGGCAGCCGGCAGCCCTTCCCTTTTAATCAACTTCATTTCTGCATGCCTCCGGCTCCGGTAAAGTTGTAATTACAGAGCCAATGCCAAAGCTGAGGTGGATTTGCGAGCGCGCTTGGCTGTGCTGACTGCGTGGTCCGGGGGCACTGGCGACGACAAAACGTTGCAAGAGCTGATCACCGAGGAAAGCCGCTTGGCTTTCACCATATTTGTTTGGGGTTGAAGTTGGATTGAATTGAGCTTGATTATTGAGCTGTGGGAATTGGACTCAGCCAGCTCTGGAATTGAGCGCTTATTCAGAATCCAGAAGGCTCTTTAACTCTTCGATTGCAAATCAACATTGGCCCGACATTTGCAGCAGTTTCAATTTGCTAATGAATGAATTGAATTGAAGTTGAGGTTTGTGCGTTTGTGTGCTGTGTGTGTGGCATGTTTGTGACCGTGACCGTCACCGAGCTGGGTTAGCTGTTTAGGTTTAGCTGTTAAGTTTTGTATTGTGACTCGTGAATTATGTGAACAAATTGGGGCCCTGGCCTGGACTCTGGAGTCTGGAGAGTGACTCGACTGCGACTCATGACTCTGTGTGTGCGAGGTGTGTGTGTGTGTGTGAGTGTGACTCTGTTGTTTGTTGTTTTTTTGGTCGCATCTGGTCATTTGGCCGCGGTTTGCTGATTGCTGATTCGTGACGGTGAGTGCAAGGTGTACGTGTGTCTGATTGCGTCACAAAGTTTGATGTTGAATTTTGATTGTGTGCTTGTAAACTTCCGCACTCTGGAATCTGGAATCTGCACTGCTGTGTTGTGAGTCGTGAGCACCCATTCCGGCTTGGCTCCGAGTCCGAGTGAGGCTACTTCAATAGCGTGGAGGAGCTGAAGAACATGATGTCCTTCGCCAAAATGCAGAAGATCGACCAGGCGATCAGAGATGTCTTCACTCACGAAGATCTGGATGCCTGCGTGGAGCAGTACGACCGTGCCTCGGCCGAAGCTGGTTTTGTCGAACTCATTTTTTGCGTTGGTGCGGCGCCCAGTGCCCAGCCTAGCCCCACTGGTCGCAACCAATGCCTTAATGGTCTTATCCTTGGGGATGGGCGGGGGCGGTTCAGATTCCATGCCAGCCAGTAGCGCCAAGGTGCGTTGGCGGGTGTCAAGATCATGATGGCTGCTGTGAAAGAAGTGGGCAAGAACTGGCAGGTGCGGCACGCTTCAGACTTGAGACTCTCACATTTGAGATTTTAGATTGGCTCACAATATTTTGTTAAACAAATCAGTTCGTCAACAGTTAGTCTACGGCCTACGGGTGCCTACCCAGTTCCACTGCACGCGTTTGCATGTGTGTGTGAGTGCTTCTTACACGGTCGGTCAGTTCAGCAAAACTGTGTGCCTCTTGCCACTTTGTGTTAGTGACTTCAATCTGAACTTGATCCTCATGCCGCATGCTGCATTGGAGGACTTGAGCCCTCAGACTGAAACCCGCAGGCAACATGCGTCGGCCGGGCACACCAAGCCCTGCCTGCCCCGCCTGCGCAGGCTTTCTGCCAAGCCACACGGAAGAGCCGGCTCAACTTGGAGAAGAAGCTAGCCAAACAGTGGCTCGGATGATCGGAAGTTGCTAGAAACAGGCATGCTCTGTAACAACTCGGCGTGTGAGTCCGTGTGAGTGAACCAAACAAGTTGCTTGTTGTTTCACACATGATCAGGTATGGTACTATGGAACGATGTAGTCTGATGATCTGATGTAGTAACTAATTTGATTGTTTGAAGTTTGTTTGAAAGGCTAAGGCAAGCAAGGAAAGGTAGTTTTTTGCCATTGCATTCGATTTCCGTCAGTGTTCAGTGTCTGTGAGTGTCACTGAACTGGTGTTTTGAATCTGGGCCGTAGCAGGCCGCAAAAACAAGGCAACATCGAGTCTTCTCACACTTCCTTGGCCATGTCATCGGCGCTTCACTAGAAATATAAGCCATGATTGTTGTGCGATCGGCAACTTGCAGTGAGCCATTGCGTGTTGTTGGATGACTTCTAGTCCTAATTTCTAGATTGTAATTTTCTGGCAAGCTAGTTCTGGCATTGTACAGTAACAGTACAACCGTCAACTACCCCAACATGTCTGAACTAAGGACACGTTTGATGCGCTCGGAGTAGGATTGGGTTGTTCACGGCACGGCAACAGCTTGCAAGTTGCAAGACCACGGTGACCACAGCACATCTTTCACTCTTTCACTGCGTTAAAACACGTGGACAATAAATGAAACGCCAAATTGCCAATTGAAGTTGAATCGGGGCAGCAAGTGCAGCAAGGGGCGGGAGCCAAGAGATAAAACTGAGTTAAACAAAATCGACTGTCTTTGGTTTGCCAAGGGCAGAGGCGCAAAAGGTGCGGGAGGCCAAGAAGGCGGAGGCGGCATCAACTTCAGCCAAGGCCAAGGCAAGCCTGGGGCCCGGCTTGGCTTGTGAATTCTAAATCGTGTGATTTTGATTCTGATGGGCAGCTGTTTTGGTCCAGTCTTGGCAGTCTTGGCCTTGAATGTGTTTTGTGCAGTGCGGCCACGTTCACGTCAGCGATTCTTCTCACTGCCTCGGCCAGGCTCGGGCGGGCAACGGCTGTTTGGAGCACATCACCAAGTCGGACTGCGCTTTTTTTCCGCTCGATAACCTCTACGAACATCAAGCAGATCCAGCTGACTGCGGTGTCCGTTGCGCCGGAGGTCACGAGCAAGCCGTTCCTTCTTCGCTGCCTGGCGCAATTGATTGTGGCCAGCGGTTGGCGGGCGGGGTGGGGGAGCAGTGTATACCACAGAGTGTTTCGTCACGGAAAGGTCATGCAAGGCTGCCTTCAAGTCATTTGCCGTCAAGTTGTGATGCGCGTGTGGGCTTCCAAGGCAAGAAGAAATCCATGCTCGACCAGCTCTCCTCCCTCTCGGAGCAGACAAATGCCAGCCGCCAGCGAGTTTCGGAGCTTCTGCCAACCTTTGACAAGAACTTCTTGTCGAGAAAGGAGCTCCAGCTGTTTGCCCCGCTCCCGGCTACGCACGTGGAGCCGCTTCGCCTGGCAATGTTGGACCAGATCGGGGGTAGCACTGAAGAGGCTGACGCCGACACGCAGGGCATGAGGGACCTCATCGGGTCCAGCAACCTGGACGCTGCCAAGGCTCTGCGAGAGCTACACCTTGTGGGCTACAAAGCAGGGTACGTGCAAGAAACTCAACTGAATTGAGCACCTTTGTTGAACTTTGTTGTATCAGTGTTCCCTCCGTAGCATGTCGTGATCGAATCCATGATCCATCTTTGTTGTATCAGTGTGCCCTCCATAGCATGTGATTTTGTTTCGAATAATAATTTAATTTCCCCAAATTTTTAGGGGGGGGGGAATAAAAATTTCCATCTTTGTTGTATCAGTGTTTGATCCATGTTCCATCTTTGTTGTATCAGTGTGCCCCTCCATAGCATGTCGTGAAAAAAACAATTCCATGTGATCCATCTTTGTTGTATTCGTGTGCCTCCGTAGCATTGTCCGAGTTTCATGTTCCATCTTTGTTGTATCAGTGTGCCCTACATAGCATGTGTCCGGTGGATCCTTGTTCATCTTTGTTGTATCAGTGTGCCTCCAGAGCATGTCGTGAGCATGATTATCGGCCGGCTGTTTCCATCAGTGTGCCTCCGTAGCATGTCGTGATTTCGAATCCATTGATCCATATTGGTTGTATCAAGTGACTTTAATCAGTGTGCCCTTCCATAAGCATGTCGTGATCCATGAATCCTTCCTTTGTTGATCCGGTGTGCCCTCCATAGCATGTCGTGATCCATGATCCATCTTTGTTGTATCCGTGTGCCCTCCATAGCATGTCGTGATCCATGATCCATCTTTGTTGTATCAGTGTGCCCTCCGTAGCATGTCGTGATCCATGATCCATCTTTGTGGTATCAGTGTGCCCTCCATAGCATGTCGTGATCCATGATCCATCTTTGTTGTATCAGTGTGCCCTCCATAGCATGTCGTGATCCATGATCCATCTTTGTTGTATCAGTGTGCCCTCCGTAGCATGTCGTGATCCATGATCCATGACCATGATCCAGTCGGCCCAGGAAGGCTGCGAGCCGTTCGGCCTCGGCACGGTGAAGATCATGTTGCAGGGAACGACTCTCGATTACGCAGTCAGTTGTTGCCGGCGTCGTCGTTTTCGCCTCAATGTGAAATGGAATGTTGACAACTTAAGACTTAAGACTTCATACCATTTTTGACGTTTGTTTGATATTTGATATATATTATGATTGTTTGCGGCCGGTCTGACCATTGCTCACCCGCCAACTTTAACCGGAGCTGCAATTCTGAGGAAGTGCTACATGGCTGTGTTCAGCACGCAGCGCATTCTTGACGATTGCCACTCCGACCATGACATTGAGGTGGCCTTGGACATCCCCGCCATGATCTGCAATCTGAAGGACCAGGATGCGCCTGAACTCTTTAATGAGGTCAACTTTGTCTCCTTTATGACTGTGATGCCGGGCGACTTAGTGTACATTCCGCCTGGGTCGCTGGTCCTGAGCAAGACTTGCGCAACGCCAAGCACGTTTCTCCGTGCGCAAATGTTCAATGCTTTGTGCCCTGCAAATGTGGCATTTGACTTCTGGCAGAAACTCATGCAGCCAGACAGGGTTTCCTTTTTGGCGGAGTTGCTGAAGCTGCAGAAGCCTTGGTCTGCTGATGATGTCGGATCTGGGCCACTGAACAAGGTCAAGACGGAGTCTGCGGCCGCGCATGCAGCCAACGATGACAGCAACGTGCCCGGGCCTCCTGCTGATGCTGATGTGGAGGCTGCTGAGGAGGTGGCCCCAAAGGAAGCGACCGAGCAGACCAAGCCGGAGTCCACACAGCCCACGCCAGAGCCAGCTCCAAAGCCTGCTGCTGCCGCTGCCGCCAATCAGGAGCAGCCTAGCCAGCCTGATCAGGCTCCTGGCGAGGCTGACGCCGCGATGCTTATACTGGAGGCTGCCGAGACCAAGCCTGCCCCAGAGGCCCCAGAGGCCTCAGAAAGGACTGCTTCCGCGCCAATGCCCATGGCGACAGAGGCTGCTGAGACCAAGTCTGCAGAGGATGTTGCCCTGGAGTCAGAGAAGACTGCTTCCGCGGCGCTGCCCACGCCGGAACCTGCCCAGTTTGTGGAGGAGGCTGCCGAGACCAAGTCTGCCCCGGAGTCCGAGAAGACTGCTTGCGCGGCGGCTGAGACCAAGTCTGCAGAGGAGGTCGCCCCCGCCCCGGAGTCCGAGAAGACTGATTCCGCGATGCCCACACAGCCAGAAAATGCTGAGACCAAGTCTGCAGAGGAGGTCGCCCCGGAGTCCGAGAAGACTGCTTCCGCGGCGATGCCCACACCGCCAGAGGCTGCTGAGGAGGTTGCCCCGGAGTCCGAGAAGACTGCTTCCGCGGCAATGCCCGCACCGGAGCCGGAGGCTGCCCAGTTTGCAGAGGAGGCTGCCCCGGAGTCGGAGGCTGCCAAGACCAAGTCTGCCCCGGAGTCAGAGAAGACAGCGTCCGCGGCGATGCCCACACCGGAGGCTGCAGAGGAGTTTGCCCCGGCCCCAAGTGCCCCAGAGTCAGAGAAGGCAATGGCCACGCCGCCGCCGGAGGCTGCCGAGACCAAGCCTGCTGCAAACCCAGAGGCTGCTTCCGCGATGGCCGCTTCTCGCCTTTTGTGTTTTTTGTTTGGGGTTGGTCCGTCACTCGGCCTTGGTTGGCCGGCCTTCCATTTTTTTGTGATAAAAGATTTGCTGCGCCCGCGAGAGATTGTGATATATTTTCTTTTTTTGGAATTTTGAATTGAGATTATTGAGATTCCAGAAACATGTTGGCCAGTGAGTCTAGTGAGTTCTGAGTTAGTCACATTTGCCTCCCCCTAACAATTGTAATTTGAGGGGGGGGGTACTGAGTACTCAGTGATACGTAAATGTTTGTTGCACTTTTGAGGGGGCGGGGTGGTTGGGAAACACGGAGGCGGCTGCCGCTTGAGCGGCCACTAAACCGAACGCTGGTCCCAGAAAAGGGTTGTGTTTTTCTGCGGGCTATATATGATTATATTTCAAGGGCTAGCGGGCTGCCCGGCTACCCCCCCCCCAAAAAAGAAATAAATTGCAATTTTGAGGTCCCCCGCGGGGATTCTTGTGCCAGTGCTTGTCATGGCCAACTGCTGACTGCTCAGGATAGTGAGGATCTCGACATGGCCCTGGGTGCGCTCATGGAAGCCGAAGCAGCCACAGACTGCGGCGCGAAGGCTGGTAGTTGGCAGGTCGGTGGATGTCGTAAATGAGCACATCGTCAACATGCAAACCTGTCAGTCGATCGTCGATCAGTCAAGCCAGTCAATTTGTCAATGAATCAATTGAATCAATATGTCGCTACTGGCTGGCTGGCCTGTCCCATTACTGTCCGCAGGTGGCGCCAACGCTGGAGACGCGTGACGTGGACGTGGACAAGGCCAAGACCAAGTCCAAGGCGAAGGGGGCCAAGGCCAAGGACGGGCTTTTTGGGCCCAGCAGCATGGCACAGAACAGATTCTAAACTCTAATTGTGTTTTGATGTTGGCGTTGGACAGTGTTAGTGGTGAGCAGTGATAGTATGGGCTTTGAACTTGAACACCACACCGTCGGCAATGGATGGCAGTCCGCAGTCACTTCACATTTGCTTGGCTGGCTGCTAGGAGGCAGCCCCGGCCGCAGCCGCAGCGTCGACTTCAAAGACGCCAGTGCCTTGCATGAATCAACCCAATTTATCCAAATTCCCTCTAATAAGTAATAAGGAACCTACTTGTTCAGGGCCAACTCCAAACTCTTTGATTTTGGGGACAGTCCATTGAATATTGACGAATTGCTCCAACGGCGTTTTGGGGGACAAAAAGCGTTTTTTTGGCAGCAACGGCGAGCAATAGTGCAATTTCAATCAGCGGCAGAAATTCAGCACCGCCGGGCTTTCCAGGTATATATTATTTCGTGAATTCGTTGTTGAAGCCGAATTGTATAAATGACCAACTGTTACTAACTTGACAGGGAACGCTTTTTAGCTGAGGCTAGCGGCTAGCGGGCTGGTAGTTTGGTTAACCTGGTTGCATTTGGATTACGAGTCGTCTAGGATTGCATGCTTCTGGCCAAATCCGCCAAGGCCGCCAGTGGGCCAAAGGCCAAGGCCAAGAGCAAGAGCGCCGCGAAGGCAAAGGCTGCCGGGAAGCCGTCGGCTGAGAAGCCGTCGGCGGCTTTAGAGTCACTTTTCTCCGGCGGCAAACGCCGGAAGATTTCGTAGGCTGATCAGCTGATCAGACAGGGTAGGTCGGTTGCGGTTGCTCTGAGGCTCTGAGGCTCGAGGTTGGAGTTTCCGGCACCCTCAAAGAATAGTGTGCCTTTGTTTGAGTTTGCGTGGACATGTGGAGCAACCGAACTTGTGTTGGCCTGGCAATTTGCCGAGGGATTTGCGCTTTCCAGCACTGCGATGCAGTGGACGAAGCCATGAGGGGGAAAACATCGATGTGGCGGCCGGCGCTCCTGGTACTAACTGTGATTTCATATCGAATTCATATTCAAATCTTGTTGCTTGAGCCAGACTCACATCCTGTGGTGTGACACCATCCCAACTCCCAACATCATCCCCCCAACGGACCAACGGGGACACTATGGGTATTCATGGGCAGTTTTTAGAGGGGAACCTATTTTGGGCTCGCTTGTAAAAGGAAATTACGAGGAACACCACCATTGTTAGGTGACCGGTCCCTTAAAAAGAAAGCACACCGTTCAATGTTCATCACTGCTAAGAAAATCATTATGGCCCATATCATGTTGCAGCCATTTTTCATATATTACATATATTGCAATATTTCCCACTACCTCCAATTTGGATTTATGGTTGCATTTTGGAGGCTGGGGCAATGCACATACTGGAGGCCTTTGCAACGCAAGGGCCCAGCTCAACATGTGTTCCTTTGCACTTCAGCTCCAGCGTTCAAAATTAGGCTTCAAATCAACGTTGGCTTTTGGGTTTGGGGATGCATTTCAGGCTTGATACTTGATTGATTGGCAGTTGTTGAGGGGGATTGAGTTGGAAAAGTAAGGGAGCAACCAAAACCTAGGAGGAGTCAGGCTGTTTAATGAATTTTGGCTAATCTCATGGATTTGGGGTATACACAGGGGGGCCTCACGCAATTTAGCACACTCGTGTCTTCCTTCTTTCCTTTTTTGGGGGCAAGGGGGGTCCATAACACAAGTCTGTTCATGTTGACCCCAGATTACTAGCCCCCTGGTTTTGCTTTTACAGGGCGAGTGGGAATTCTTCACTTTGGGTGACACCCTGCCCTGATCCAGCCTTAATGTGACTGTCATGAGGTCCTCTTTCAAGATTATATGGTGCCCAACTGTTTTTTGGGCTCACCCAGCCAAGCTCTTCCCAGCTCAAAGGTAAAACAAAACATGAGGTGTTCATTCCTCCGGGGTCGACCCAATCCACACTTCAGCCCCAAAGCGGGCGGCGAAGCCGGCGCCTGTGAGACTCGGCTCGTCCAATTCGTCGAGGCCAAGCTCGGGGTCGGGGCCAAGCTCGGGGTCCGGCACGCCTGACTTCAAGCGCTTCCCGTTTCTGCCTTGTCACGTACAAGCTAAAGCTTCACGGTGTGTCTGTGTGTGTGTGTTCTTTTTCAGAAAAAAATAAACACAGGCACACGAAAAGGGTGGTGTTCTTTTGCTTCTTGTTTGTTTTCCTGAAAACACAAAACACAGGGATTCACACAGTCAAAGTCAAACCCGGTATTATAATGGTCGTAATCCCAGAACCATGTCTCAAGAATTAGGAAGGCGGATATCCGCATCTATTTGTGGTTGGGATCTTACTAACCGAACCATCTACCCGGGTTTTGATTGTGGCTCACTTCCTGAGTGGATTGCCAAACAAATATGTGTTTAAGCTTTTTGGTCTACCACGAAAATGGTCGTCTCAATCAAACATGGGCGACCCGGGTCGACTTTTACAGCACCATGCGCAACAACAAAAACAAGGGCCGCCCATTTCAATCTTGCCAAATGAAGGGCATGCTGAAAACACGAAACCTGAGGGGAATCCTGGTTATGTACTATTATGACAACTAGGACCTGGGGTAAGGCGATCGCGGTGGAACATAGTTTCCGAAAGACTTGGAAACTGTTCAAAGGATATACATCTAAATTGAAGACCCTTTAGTGGACATCATTTTACTCAGTTGCCCAGAAGACCAAGGAAAATAAAGGGCTAACCTGTTTGGGCCATAACAAACAAATGGTTGCCCAAATGGGATGTCAGATCCGGTCGATTCGCTTTGGGCAAGTGAGAACATGCGGATTGATGTCCATCAGCTTGCTCAGTGTGCACCACAAAAGATGCCATAGGTGTTTCGTCTTGATGTCAGCTTTGCTGTGTGCAAACATGCACTGGTCTCAAGAATTCAAGCAGCGGAGCTCAAACACATCGTGCGCCAAACCCGGGAGGCCGTGCTGCTTCTAATAATGCCATGGCAAATATACACAACTTGCCGTGACACCGAAAGGGGCAGTCCCTTTATAGCCTATAACTACTTTGTGGCTTAGAAGAGGCACCTCCTGATGTCACAGAAAGTGTCAATTTCAAATCCTCATGTCAAGTTTCCCTTATTGCCATGTTGACAGCCTTTTCAAGGTCAGCCACAAAATCCTTTCCAAACTAATTGGCAGGAAAGCGACCATGGGGATGCATCAAAATCCGAAGTTGCCACACGATGCCTTCCCCCCGAGCGCCCGCCTACCACGCAAACGTCCGGGCTGGTCTCCTCGCGCCCATGAGACTGGTGATGGCACTGCCAAATGGCCTTAAAAAGGAATGGCGAGAATAGCACTGGCGCGTTCAAGCGTGTCTCCTTTTTAGGGGGACATGCCCAAAATGGTGGTGCCCTTCAAAATCACAAGCAAAAAGGGTACACTCAAATAAAGACACACCCGTCTACGCCTTCAACAAGCATCGTTGGGACATCCTTGAGAGGCCAACAGCCAGCGCCCAATCCTCTTGATCATCCCCCGGCTCCATGTCGCTGTCCGGCGAAGGCGGGGGTGGCAACTGGCAAGGCTGACACTCACAGCGCTGAACCAGGCTCAGCACAGCTTCAAGCATCACATGGGACTCATGCATCAGTACAGGGCCATGATACGCATGGCTCAAGGGCTGCAAGGATTCCAACTGTCCATCTCCCGACCTTGGCAGTGACAGTCCACTCACCATCTTGAGTGAAGCCAATCTCATCATCATCTTCCTGGCAAGCCCAAGGGCAATGCGTGCTTACCAAAGCTAAGTCCGCCACGGTTGAGTGTGGCAACGGCTGCTAACGGCTTCATGTGTGTCATATGTGTTGGCAGAGCCTGGCACTCTGGACGTGTCTATTCCAGCTCCTCTTTGAAGCAATGCTCTCCACAGGCGAGCATGATCAGACACCATCCAACCGCACAATGAAGGGGGGGGCGAAGACACCGGCCTGGGCCTTGTCCATGTTAGCTGCAACAAAGCTTACCCCCTGACCATGCCTCCGTCTTCTTCAGAATGTGCAGCATGTACATGTCCTCAGTCACCCCTGCCGTGCCTTCCGTTTCAGAAAGAACCAACACGGGTCAATCAACCTGGGGCAGGTCCGCAACTCTAGAGCAAGATCCCTCAAATCAATTCAGTTCATCCTTTCCTGGGCTCACCCTTCTAACTGCGGCACAGAGCTTGATAACTGCGTGCGATCAGAACTCTCGCCGGGGAAGGGCCTTGTTTAGAGTGGCTGACATCTTGTTTGAAGGAAGATCCAGAGTAATTTGTGACAGCCTGACAGCGCGAGGCCAAGCATTTTGGCACAGAGCTTCAAGCCGAGTCGCCACAAACATGTCGGCAGGCTTGGTAGCTATGGCGCAAACAGGGCATGTCCTCGGAGCGGCAAAATCCGCATCTTGGGCGTCCGTGCTACGTCTAAAACTGGGCGGGGAAAGCTGGGCGAAGGTGGTGGGGGCGAGAAGTGGCGAGTCCATCTTCAGTCGTTGACATTGCTTTGGCCCTCATGGATGGGGGCGTTTTACCTCAACCCCTCTGTCTGAGGACAGGAGGCCACGTTGACAGGGAGCAGTGGTGAAGCGGTTGGGGTGCGGGGGGTGGGGGGCTGGAAGTGTCGGCTTCCAGGTCTGCTCGGGCCAACCGGCTGCTGCTTGATTGGTGCTTTTATTCGCCCTCTCTAAGGAAAGGTTTCCCCTTTCCCTCCAGAAAGAGAACTGGTCTGCAATTTTAACCTGGGACAAAAACGGGATGCTTTTGCCAAAGGATTCCTCGAAAATCGCTTGGCCCGGCCAAACTGGATCTTCGGCCGTGGAGGTCTCATAGTCTGGCCGCCGAAGGCAAACATGCAATATCAGCACCACCGAGTTTGATTGCAGTCAAGGCTTTCTTGCTCGCCAGACTCAAAATTGAAGTTGGGTAAACCGGGCACCCAGCTGGACAAATCAAGTAAAACGTCCATCCCATGCTGGTTTCATCAATTGGAAAACTGGCATGATGTGGTTCCCGTCAAACGATCCCAAGCATAGTCAAACCTTAATGTAGCATTGGTAATACCGATCCCTGATCAATAAATCTCCCATATCTTATGTGTGCATTCTATATATATGTACACTTATCTCTACATATATACACTTACATATATGTGCATATATATATATATATAGATGTATATATTTGCACATTAGAGTTTGGCTTCATTTCAACTTGGCGGGGCACATCTTTGATGCCCCTTTCGTGGCGTTGGCTTCCAAGGTCTCAGGCTCCGGCCATCGCTTGTTGAAGGCGGAAATACTTCGATTGATCTCCAAGTAGGCCTGGCGGTTTCTGTGGGTCCATACTGTGGATGGATTTGAGTCCGTTCGCACCACTTTGAAACCATAGGAAACCATTGTTGGAATTTGCAGGAAAATCACCCTTCCAGGGTCCCACCTTTGAGGGGTGACGTCAATGGCACGGCACTTGCTGAGCTGGTGCTTTCCTTTTGTGGTTGTTTCCCTTTACACTGGGGTTCAGTTGCCACCATGAAAAGAAGTGTCGGGTTCGTATAACCATCATTGTTTACCTCATCATCCAAATTGGGGCAACCATTCTTTTAATTGGGGTTGAACCCTGAACTGCAATGGTGACTCCGAATCTATTAACAGGAAGAGCTGTTCCCCTCCATACGTAAGGAATCACTACTAAAACGGAACACCCCCCTTGATAATAAGCAGGGTTTGTTTGTCCGGGGTTCCCTTCTTCAAGATGGAGGACGCTCATTCTTTCAAGACGAGCTGGCTAGATCGACCACAACGTGTTTGCTGCACAGGTCTGCTGTAAGACAGGACAACACCGACATTTTTGACCACCAACATATCGATAGATTCACTACCCGGTTTCTTCTTGATGACAGATGCAAGATTTCTAGCCCTATGACCACTTTCCTTCACCACCTTCCGAAGCCCGCGCAGTATGCTCGAGGCATCCTTCGTGCTATTCAAAGCGGGAGCATTTACACTCACCCTAGGCTTTGCCACGCTGGCCTTACGCAGAGCCCCGATTGTTGTGACTGCGAGGTGCATTTGTTTCACGATTGCCCTGCCTACGAACCTATCAGGCAAAATTTCCCTCAGGGTTATAGCCACGTTTCAGGTCTCAACGGCGTCGCTTTTGAGCCACCCTGGGTCCAATCTTTCAGGCAAAGCAAACTTGAGGAGAGCGCTTTGGGGGACATGGGCCGCTGCCTTTCCAATGAGATCTTTGTTGACGGAAGTGCTTCCCACCATGCTGCCCCAAATGCAAGGGTCTCCGCTGCCGCAATTTTCTCACCTGGGCACCCTGTTGCTGCTGCTAGAGTTCCTGGTAAAAAAAAAGTTCGCCGAGGGCCGACATTTACGCTGCGTTGATATGCGGATGTCCCAAGGCCCCACTGTTTACAGCGGCTGTCGGAAGGTGGTGGCAGCCAATCAACCGGTTTCAGCGAACTGGCGACACTGAAGCCGCTTCTTCAGCTTGACCATCCCGATCTTTGGGAACTCCTCACGCTGGTTGAAGAAAGAGGCCCCGACGTGAAGTTGGTGCATATCCGAGCTCATTGGCGCGACCCTTCCCAACAGACGGAAATTACCGAAGGAAACCGTATCGTAGATGCTGCTGCCAGAGAAGTTGCAAAAAAAAGGCAGAATGATTTTTTGCAAAGCCTCGACTTCCATTTGACCAACGCGATAGCTTGCCAATCCTCTTTGGTGGCTATCGTTGCTGCTAGACAACACTTGAACAACACCCTGCAGGGTGAATGCTTTGACGACAATCACGAGCTGAGGGACTACCTTTGGCTTTCAAACTTTGAAACTGGCCCCGCCACTTCGGCGTGCACGTGTAAGCCTGCCAAAAGGCTCATTGGAAAGCAGACACTTCGGCGCCAAGGGTGCCAAGGTGTTTCTATTCAGAACCTTTACCACCTTGAGAACTTGTTTCTAAAGTGCTTTCAAGACGAGACTAGACAGGTCCCGGACGAGTGTTTCAAGGAACTTGTGGGTCGCTTTCGGGGTATGATTCCTCACATCAACCCTCCGAATCGCGACTTTGTTCCGCTCATTCCGGTGCATGGGCAGGTTCAGGGAACTGGCTCCAAAGATATCCCTCAACAGGCCCTTAATGCTCTTTGTAACTTTGCAGCTTCTGCCAATTTCTCGCTTGGCAGAAAGGGTGACGCGTGCAAGGTTACGTGGCTGGCTCTTGCTGTTGAATTTGTCGCCACTCATGGCTTTGTCATTGGCTGGATCGATGAGACTATGATCGGGCTGATTTGCGCCCGGGTGCGCCGGGTTATCCACGGGCATGGCAAATCCTTTGTGCCATTGAAGAACATCAAATACTTCCACCCGATTGTGCTAGAGAGTCTTTCCGGCTTTTTTGGTGCTTAGCGCCACCGGCACGCTAAGCACCATTTCGCTATTTTTCTGCAGCTGTCCGATGCCGTTTCAGCTGTCTCTGGGCGCCCTAAGCCCAATCAGCATATCGTGGTCACTTGGCGGGTCTTCTCTTCGCGGGCCCTTGCTTCGTTTGACTGATCTGCTGTTGTTTTGTCGGCTTCCGATGCATGTTATGTGCGTTCTCACGTGTCGATCGAGCTCAGAGGTCCGGGCGGCTGATGAGTGTTCACAACAAAAATAAGTCCGGGGTTCCCTTTCTTCTTTTGGCTCTTCCTTTCATGTTGCTTTCTTTTCTTTCCTTCCTTCCTTCCTTCCTTCCTTCCTTCCTTCCTTCCTTCCTTCCTCTTGCATTTTTACTTCCTTCCCTTCCTTTATTCTCCCATGCTCTACTAAGCGGACAGTGTCCGCACATCCGACTTTGCCAAGATCGGGGTGTCCCCTCGTGTTGTGATTTTCCGGCAGTGGTATCCGCGGGTTGTTTTCTGCTGTTGGTGTTGTTCTGGTCCTGGTAGTGTTCCGGCTGTGTCCCGATGTGCCGCTAATGTTTTGGAGTCGTCTAGGTGGCGTCCCCGGTGTTGTCCCGGTGGTGTTCTGGTGTCGAGTGATGCCCCGGTGGTATCCGGAATGTTGTGTTCTGGTGTTCCAGGGATGGCAAGGCTGTGAGACTTCGGGGGCATGTGCAGTTGCGATTGGGTCTGTGGGACTCTCTCTTTCCGACTTCCCTTCTTCCTTTCACTATTCCCTAGGGTTCAACCCATCACACAAAACGGCCAGGCCCCAATTTAGATGATGACACTTGGCTAAACAAGGGTGGTTCCATGGTTTTGGTGGCTTCAACCCTAACCCAACCATTGTTTGCACGGCCACCTAAAAAAAAGCCGCAGGGTATAGGGTTAGCGAACAGGGTGGCCACCGAAAAAAAGCCAACAGCAGCCCATGGGCATTGCCGACAAAAAGTCTTCGCCCATGGCCCAGCCTTGAGATCGTAGCATTGCAGGTGAGCGCACTTCTCCCCACGGACCGGGGTGTGAATGCGCTGGTGCGTCAAAGGGCCTCTCAGACCAGAGAGAGTCTAGAAATTTCTCCAACCAAATGGTTCCTGAAAATACCCCTAAGAGGAAAACCACGTCATGGTTGTTTGCTTGTTGGTTATGTCTCATGTGTTCTTTCCTTCTCTTCTTTTTTTGCGGGGGGGGGGCGGGGAACCAATTGTTTAAACAACAGTTTGGCCTTCAGTGAACTCATGTGATGCCTTGCAACTTCTCTCCCGAAAAACAGCACTTGAAACACTGCCAAATTCTTGCAAAGGCCGACCAAATCCTATTCCAAGCTGAACAAAGGGATGAACCTGCCAACCACGAGATGATGTTCCACCCACTCAGCCAACGGGTTCGCAGCACCGCTAAATCAATGGTGTTCATATAACCACCATGGGCTACCTCGAACATGTCATTTAAATTGGGTCCCAAGTTGCCTTTCTTTGTAGAATCGGCACCCTCGGGTTGATCGATCGATTGCCATGTCGTGCTCAGTGCTCGTGCTTTTGGGGCCCAAAGAGTTGCATGAAAGTCAAGCACAAATGGGTGTCTCTGTTTTCTTTAAAGGGGAACCACAAGGAAAGACACCACCCAGTTTGGGGGTTCCATATCCTTTTTTGAGACAAACCCAAATCAAGAATTGAAGGGGGCAGAATTCGTGATCCTATTTGGCCATGTGCAGCGATTTGTAGCACACGTGCTTGGAAATCTGCACGATGTTTCCCCTGTTCAAGACATTCATCCCTCCTTTCAAAACGCAATGTTAACATTGGACTAATGCACAGATTACTAAGACGCGTTTTCGAGAGTCAATAGTACCAAACAATGCGAAACTCTGACGGAGGCCTCCGGGACCACCCCCAATTAGTTCTTCCAGCCCAATTAAAACTTTCTCAAATTTCCGGATGCGTCCTGAATCCCGCAGAGCGGCTACCTACAACCTTCGAAACCGGAACCGGTTTAAACTGAGGTTTGACCTTCCGGAGGGGAAAATCTCCCGCACCTGGTTGAAAGCTAACTCAGTTGCCTAAAGGAACTGGAAAATCGTCAGGTTGATCTTATGGAACCTTAACTACTGGACCAAATGGTCATGGGTCAAAAGCCCAAAAGCCCGTATACCCCCAGTGAACATCCCAATCCCACTCAAATAGGTTCTAAAATGGGTGGTGAATTCACCTAGCCCAAAATGGGATCCCATCGGCTTTGACAACCACAGCCAACTCAGGTCGAAACAACGAGGCCAGATGCGGTCGATTCGCTTGGAGCTAAGTTTTTCGGACGCCACTGCGCCGTGGCCCGAGATCCGAGGATCCGGGCAAGTGAGTCGACAGCGGTCGGAGCCTTCGGCCGCGACCTGCGGCCGGGTTTCCCGTTAGGCCCAGTGCAGGAAACTCGGTGGCGAAATCTGCTCCCCTGCCAAAAGTTTACGACTTTTAGTGGTTTAATACGGAAAAACCCATTAGTTGGCAAACAGTTAAAGTCCGAACATCCAAGCAACATGCACCAAAGAAAAGCCGGTTTGTGGTTCATCCCATTTCTAGCGACAAAAACGGCCGGGGGGGGGGAGGAAGGGATTGACTAAACTGAGGTTCACTCACAGTTCCTCTTGTTGGACCTCAGTGTGTTTGGAAAAAGGGGACGCAATCGGTGTCACATGATGTCACATGTGACCTCTCGAGTACTTTGTTGGGGGAACCACCAGAGTTGCCTTCATCGATCCTCTTGAGTCAAATACGCAGAGGTACTGATTTGTTGAATTCGATATTTCTGGCGAAGGGATTGCAAATTGCCAAAACAACCTTAAGCCCCAATTGGTACTATGCACCTGACACAAGTCAAGGGGGATATATTGCTCCACGGGACTAAATAATAATTAGAGTTTGGTTGTGAGGTAATTACGTTAAAGCCACATTTCTGATTGGCCAACTTATGAAAATGAGTTGTCACTCTGAGCTGGGAGCCATTTCCCGCAAGATGCTCCCTGGAAACATGTCCCGGGTGCTCCCAGTTGTCAGAGTGCGCCACCCGGGAATTCCCTTTAGTTTGTGAAAAGGTGCACCCTTGTCTGCACCGAGTGTCCTTTTTAAGGGATTTTCTCTATGCACTTGTGACCGCTTTTGAGAGCGCTCTGCAAGGTTTGGTCCGAGGCCCAAGGTTTGCCCTGGCTCCATGGCTCCATGCAGGCAAACACAATCCGCCTTGATTGGAACGGAACGGCCAGCCCCTTGTTGGGTCTCGTCATCTCTGGAGAGCTCGAAACCAGGCATCTACCGTGGAGCTTTGTGTTCACAAGATGAACACCAGCCATTTCCTCCACCGAAAAGCAATGTGGCTCAGAAAGCAAATGTGACGTGGCTCAACAACTCGCCTTTCAAGGCCATATTCGTCCAACTCCACCCCAGCCCTTCCAAAGAAGCCGCCATCGGCTTCTGGGCCTCGTCGGACATGCTGAGGAGCTTGGAGTTCCAAAGCACCTCCCGCACAAGCTTCCGGCCATTCTCTGGGCCTGACGGGCCAATGGAAACCAACCTGGGTACTTGCCCACGTGAGGTGATCGAAATGACGCGCGTTTCCGACGTGGGAAAAGGACACCCCTATGTCCTTCCCCAAACGGACCCGGAGATTTTGACCAAACCTGTGCAAATGTCTGGGAAGGGCGGCCCATTTATTTGACAAGTGGTCAACTCTTAAATGTCCTTCAGGACCACCATGTTTGGCAAGCCTGGGAACAAAAGATTCGATTGAGAGGTGCACAAATGCAAACTCCGTTCCCCCACGGTTGGCGGGCATCTGGCCGTCTCATCACACATGTCGATACGGTATGGCCAATGCCCTGCGTACAAGGAATTGTCCTCCAGGTCAAACAACCGGCTGTAAGCCCCTTGAGTACACTTCATCATGTGGACCACCTGCGTAGTCTGGGGCAAACAAACAGAGGGCCAGTGTTTCTTCCATGCCATCCCGCCATGAAAAATATAGGCACGACGGAAAAAATGGCCAAGTGGGGAATATTTGTTTATTTGGGGTTCTGTGGATGACATCATTTAGGTGGGGAAATATGTTGAAAACTTGTAGCCATATCCCCCCCTTGAATTGAGAATCAGACACTTGAGATGTGCAGCGAGGATAAACATGCATCATGTTTGCATGCACAAGACTTGGGCGGCGAGGGGGGGGCTTTTGGGTTTCATGTCAAGAGCACACCAACATGCACAGTTTTTACAAAACTTTGGCTGGAGCATTTAGCACAATGTGCGGAAAAAGGGCGGGGGGGGGAACGATTCCGGGGGCTACGAGCAGTTGGAGGATCAATGGGCACTTGGCATTTCGTTGTTCACACCACATAGTAAGTAGGTTGTAACGATGGTTGTAAGGGGACGATCACCCCAGTTACCCACTTATAACCATGGTTATGACCTACTAAGTGGTTTGAGCATCCAAGCAGTGCTTACGTCTTCTTCTTTTTCCGGCAGGGAATCGCCAGATCATATTTGCTCTTTTCTCAGCTCGCGGCTAACTAAGCGGACCGCCTTTCGCATCTCTAGGACCTGGGATGGGGGCAGCTTGGGAAACCCCAAGTTGCCCAAAGGACCTGGAAGTGCAAGGTTGAACTTTTGGAACCTTGAATAAACATGGACCAAATCAGAAAAAACCAACAGCTCAAAAGGTCGGCTTTGGGCAAGTGCGAGAATGATGCTTGAAACACACGCATATACCGCCAGCAATTGCATGTGGGCACTCAGGGACACACTCAAACGGTGCTCACATGTGGGTCGAGCAGTTGAGAGGCACAAAGGTTCATTGCTAGTCGATGCCAGTGAAGCAGTGAAGTGTCTGTTCCGTGTTGACACCAGAAAGGTAATGCCTTCCCTGTTAATCACAGCCCCTCACCCTTGTTACTCGAGCATGGACGACTTGTTGAGTCACGGTCTAGCAAGTCAAGTGCCATAAGCGAATGGCTTGCTCAAGAGCCAAATGAGACCCAAGCATCTCCCTGCCTTTGGATAGTAGTTGAACCCCTTGGGTCTGAACAACACCCCAAATATGACATCCACTTGACTGACAACCGTTTGTGTCCAAAGAAATGCATGAAGCCCCAACCAGGAAAGCACATAAGCAGGGCCCCTGAAAGCCATCTGCACCCAACCATATCCAGCACAAAGGCAGTCCCTTGCAATTAAGGCAGCAAAACAGAACAAGGGAAACACTGCCTGACTTGATCGCGCGAGGAAACGATGCTGAAAGGGCGGACCACTGGAAACACGCCGGGCAAATGCGACCGCTTTCGTACCCTGCGAAAACATGCATACCATGACCTAACTTAACTGGCACGAATTGTTGCTGAAGCACCTAACTTAGGAAAGCAGTGGCTTCTGTTTTGGTGTCCCTACCTCCCTTTGCTTAAGTCCCCAGGAAAAATGAACATATTTGCAATCCACTTGGAGGCCAACAGCGAAATTGACAAAACATATTGTGCAAGTTGAGGCTAATGTCAGTGCATGATTGTAACCCCCCCCCGATTTTGCAGGGCTTGTCCAAACCTTGTTGAAGGGGGCGGGTTGCGGGGGGGGCCTTTTTTACCCACCAAGGTAACCATTACCCAACCCGGAAACCAAGGGAAACCATGATGCAAAGCCTGGTAAGAAACCCATTTTTCCGTACTTTTCTCGGCGAAATGCCTGGAAGCCCTGCGCAAGGAAACAAAAACACACGTAAAAACCGGGGCACCGCTGGTTGCCTGGGCCTGAGGCTGCCACGCTTTGGGGCTTCACCCGAACGATGGCGATCCCAAACCTGAGGTCTCCGAAACTGAGTTCGGACCAACTGGTCCATCGGTCCAACTCGATTCTCCCCCGAGAAAAAACAAGAGCACTTGGGAAGCTCACCTGAAAGAAGCCGCCAAAAAGATCTTTAGAACCAAGGGAAATATGGGAAGTGATGAGCTCAACACCTCGTTTGAGGCCTTTGGGGGTAAGGTTCCAGGGACCAAGGGACGTTTCCGCATCCTAAAAGGAGAGACATGCTCTAAATTGTGTTTTAGTCAAACAACCAGCCCTGAACGTGATTTTCAGAACCCCATAAGACTGGTGCACATTGTGCGGGGCCCCCTGCTGAGCTGTGCCATTTTGCCAGGAGGAAATGGGAGACCCCACGGACAAAAAATGGTTCCCGTGGCTGGCCGTCTCAATCTACAAAGGTTGCACACATGCTATTCCGAGCATCGTCTACAAATGAGCAACTGGCAATATTCTGGCTGTAAGCTTAGAGGTCATGCGTGCATCACTCAAGCTCCCCTAACCACCACTCTCCCCCAAAAGGAACCTTTGGCAAACACTGACTCACAGGCTCACAGGTAGGGGCGCACTAAACCTGGTCCAACCTGGACATGAACTGGGAACACTTTTTGATCAAAACCAAACTTCTTTGCTTCACCTTTTGGAACCTTTACTAAACATGGCTTACCTTGGACATGGACCAAAAAACACCTTTTGACTTCACTTCACGCCTTAAGCCGGAAAACATCCAACAAACTGCTGCGATCCGGTCGACCCGGTCGACGGCCTCTGCAAGGTCCAGCCGTCCCGCATGGAGATCTTCAGCTCGTTCACTTCGGACTTGAGGCAGGCCGAGATCCTGCGAGCGAGCGTTTGCTGCGATTGGCCTGCGAGAGGCACTTGGTTCATGTGGACCCCATATGGGCATGAATGATAATTAGGCACCCTTTGGTGGACATCATTTAGATGGGGATTCATGTCGACCAACCACAAACGAGGTGGTGAAACCCTTGAAGTTCATGGCCAAGTGAATTTCAATCCCAGTTTAGGGGTGTCTCTGGGTGAAATGTGGGGATTCGGACCACTCTTGGAGGGGAACACACCCCTCCTCACTGGGGTTGGTTAATCGGGTTAATATGGGGTCACAGTTGGATTTTGGGAAGCCCCCCTACTGTGCATGGTTGCGAAATCCTCTTCGGCGAGGAGAAAGCCTGGAATGATTCGATTCCCCTGTAAACTCCAACAAACCATGGTTTCCCACGGTTTCGAGGCGGTGCAGAAAAATCTTCCATCCACAGTATGTCTCTTTTCGGTGTCCTTTCAAAAGAAGCCCAAGACGGGTACCCTCAACAAAAAAACAAGACACCCATATATGTCAAACTGGTAGGCCAGAAGTCGATTTCGTTCTTACGTTTGGTTCCGATAAAGGGTCCAACAACTTCACGAGCCCATTGGCAAAACTCAGCGAGCCCGCTGCCAAAAGTGCATCTCAGGTGCCTTTGGCTCAAAGGAAGGACCGTAATAACTTCCTTGCCATTGGTCAAGGATGGTCTGGTACCATGAAATCCGCGGGTTTCTCCTTTTCCGGATTTCGCGTTTTCGGGTTTCAGAGAGGAACCCACGGAAACTCCGCGGATCTGAGAGGCTACAAGGCTCAGATCCCCTTGGCCTCGATGCCTGATGACTTCAGACCCTGAACCTTGAGATGGGTGAGGTGTCAAGACAAGGGGGGGGGGGGGGAAATATAGACTTTTCCCTTGGTGCTTCGCTTCAGACCAGCCTAAGAACTCCAAAGACACCAGAATGAAGTTGCGAAACCCCCATCACATTCCCTTCTTCCCGCCGGTGCTTCTGTTCAGTAGCCACCCATTTCCCCTGGGTGGGTAGGCCAGTTTTGGGGAAGGGTGAACGAATGGGTGAGGTACGACTAGGACGGGGTCCATACTGGATGGACGAAAGCCTGCACCACCCCAGAAAGTCTGGAATGATTTGATTCCCCTGTAAATACCAACAAACAATGGTTTCGCATGGCTTCAAAGCGGTGCAGGATTTGTCCATCCACAGTATGACCCATTCAAAGCCGTGGGAAACACGAAGCAACGCTCTGGGGTCCTGCGGAGACAACCCCACTCTAAACGCAGCCTGCTCGAATCTCGATCGAACAAACAAACCAAGATGGTCCAAAATTGTTCTAAGGTATACGCCAACTTTGGAGGAGCCAACAAAACTAGATGTTCAGATTCCTGTCCATATGTAGAAGCCGACTTTGGATTCTGGTCCATATGGTAACTCCAACTTTGGAGGAGCCGATATAAACCAAGTGAAGGTCGGTACCCTCCTGTCCACCAACTGGAAGCCAGCAGAAGTGTCCCTTAAGGCAACACATTTTCTATCCGTAAGATTCCGTAAGTCAAGTTCCAGGTAGGATGGGAGGGAAACAAGTATTGTGTATACTGTGTATATATATATATATATATATATATGTACATATTTATTCCCCAGCCATACACCAGGTACTGGTCACCAAAGTAGAGGTCACTAGTGATACGTGTGGATCGACTAAATCCTGCACCACCCTAACAAACTCTGGAATGGTTCGATTTCCCTGCACATTCCAAACAACGGTTTCCTATGGTTTCAAAGTGTAGGATTCTGTCCACTTTATCTCCCAAAGAAAAATACCAAAGCCACCCTACCCCAAGAGACGGCGCCCCGAAAAAAAAAAAAAACGCCGCGCCGCAAAACGGCCAAACGGGCCCGGCTGGCCGCTCCGCTCGCTCCGCCCGCTCCGCTCCACACAGCGCACAAAGCGCTCCTCTGCGGTGCATCTCGGCGCTTATGCCCCTCCTTGGGTGCCTCCACCTGGAAGGCCTGGCCGAAGCAAAAAACGGGCGCAAGGATCGAAGGACTCCAAGGGAAACGGGAAAACACATTGCCATATTTCATAAAATGGATAGATGGATAGATGGAATACATATATATATATATGTATATTATTGTATTATATTATATACCTGGAAATTTGAACTACCCTTTGAAATGAGTTATTGCCCCAACATGCTGGGGTGAAATTCGTTTTATGGGTAGTTTGAGGGTCCAGGTGTGTGTATATAACTATATATGGAGAGGGAGAGAGAAAGAAAGAGAGAGGAACAAAGGCTGGGAGCGCCAACGTAGAGCGGCTCAACCTCTGTTGCGAATGTCGACCCCGGATTGATGACCCCTGTTTCATTGTGAGTGATAGGGTTCCCTTTTGGTGGGAAGCCTTAACCCTTGTGGGTGACCCCCCCCCGTTCCCTGTTAGTATGGGTATTCTGGGTGTATTAATCCGGGGTTCCCACTCGACATGCCACAAACCTGACTAGAGTAAAGAGCGGAAAGCGCGTGTTGCGCTTCTTGGTACTGCATGTGTGCCTGCACGCAAAAGCGCCATGTTGCCCTGATATAAAATCCGAGGAAGCGCAAAGACGCTGTGAATGGGCCCAACTCGGGAAGCGTCAGCTCCTGTTCGTCATCCGGCTTCTGGGAGACTGGAGTTGATTTATCTGATTCATTCTGACCAACAAACTGCAGGAATCGTGTTCGGCACCTGCGAACCCAAACTTGCATAGAGTTCAACGCGACCAAATTCTGTCAAAATGGACTTGAAGGCGTACCATGGCGTACCTCGAAAGGGTCCCCAAAGAAACAACTTTCATACTTGTCTATTCAACGCTCGATGTACTCTTTGCCCCAGTAGTGCCAAAAGTGGGGGTCCGTTGACCAACGATCAAGCAACTTGGCAGCCAGATTGGTCAAGATTTCGCGTTGATTCAAGCAGGGGGTCGCTTGGCAAAGAGGGGTCCTCACTTCCTGAGCGAGTTGGACAAAACACACATGTCCAAGCATCTTATTTGTCCCCCCAAAAGTGACTAAAGTCCAGGAACTCGCTTCCGGAACTTCCCGAGTGGATGGCCCAAAAAAAGTCGAAACTGCTTATTTACCACTAACATGATCTTTCCAACAAGTGACTAAAGTCCAGGAACTCACTTCCACTGAGGGGGTCCTTTTGGTCTCCTTCTCCCGAACTCCAAAGGAACTTGGGGCACCCTCCGCTCCGAAGCAACTTGTTGCAAACCTCCGCTGTCGGCTTTGGGACACCGGAAGCCCCCAGCGGCTGACGGCAAGGCTCCCGCGCCCCGAGGCCGCGTCAACGCGCCCCGTTGACGCCTGGGTTCCGTTGGCCCACATGGTGAGGCTCTGAGGCCAGGTCTGCAGGGTGTCGCAGGTGTCCTCGGTTTAAGTTCAAAGCGCAGGGAGAGCCGGAGGGCCGGGGGAGTCGGGCGGGCTTCCCGGTGGGCGTCCTTCCATAGGTTGCCCAAACGCTCTGATGCCCAGAAACAAAAAATGGGCCATTTTTTCGTCACCACCAGTCCTTGGCTCCATTTACCAGGGCAACACATTTTGAGTACCCATTTTTTCACTCACAGCCATTTGGGGGTGCCCATTTTCCCAGATCATGGATACTCAGCTTCCCCTTTACCTTGTGGTGGTTTGGAGGCGAATTCGGGGGTAGGCTCTCCCATTTACCCACAAGAACCAGAAGTTCAAGTACGAATCCAACAAGCACCAATTAATCATATAAGGGATGTAAAATTCCTGCTTACCTGCTTTGAAACTGGATCCACTGGGAGGAGGAAAGAAGGTTTCTTTGCCGTGCAAAGGTCATGAGACAAATGGTTGGACTGCTCCACTGAAACGTGTACGCTACTTCTGCCAGCATGGTCCCCGCATCAGTGAGTCACTGCCATTGAGCTACTCTCCGAAACATTCATCGTTTACCCTAGAAACAGCCGGCTTCGCGCTCATAGCACCAACCAAGATGGCGACCACCTGGATATGCCTTCAAAAGAGAGCTATGCTGCCCCCAGCAGGCCAAGCTGGAACCCACCAAAACTCTAGAACCAGCTCCTTCTGCCGTATCTCCTTGTTTTCGGTATCCATGAACAATTGCCGAGAGGGAGGAAGTGTATCCCAGCTCGACCTGCGCGAGTCACCAAGCTTCCAGGTTCAGCATCCTCACATCGATCTCCTCACCGGCCTTGCGCCACTTCCTGAGAGAGATGCAAATTGCGCAAGAAAGCACCAATCGCGCGCGCGAAATTACAAAAGCACTTCCCAAGATGGTGTCATGGTGTCAGAATTACGGTTTCGAAGTGGTTCAAATGCCTTCTTGGCCCCGATCTGGGAGCCCCGAAGTCGCAGATGCTTTGAAACCCCATGTGAAAAGCTGAATGTGCTGCCTCAAACTTGTGCTCCATTCCCTTGGCAAGCCGGCTGCCTGTTGTCTTTCTTTCCAGTGGCGACTTACAACTCAATCAGCGACGGACAATGTGATCGTCACTGGTTCCCCTGTCATTTTTTCTCTTCCAGCAGAACCCCGGCTGCCAAAGTAGGCAACCAGACTTGCACTTCTAGTTCTTGAAGCGTTGCTTCCCTTGGTTTCCTGGAGTCGGGCGCAAGAATCCTCCAGGGCAAACCCACCAACCTCGGCATTCGGCATTTGAGGGTCCGCCTTCCCATGTCCAGCGATTTTGGGCGGTTCACATCGCCAATCCAAACCACCTGGTTCGGTTTGACCCCTGAGCGTGGCTCAGTGCATCTATGCTTGTCGGCATCAAACTCAATAACTTGTATATACAATGGATCATTCATACCCATAACCAAGATCTATGTCGATGTATTCTGAATTCTGGCCTTTTCAGGTCGCTTTCTCTCTTGCCCAAAGGACCCACACAGAACTGGTTACTGGTTGACCTTTTGGGAACCTTAACTCAACATAGCCCAAAATGGGAATCCAAAATCAAATCTATCTACAGATCTTTGGCCCCTCTTTGGCTTCGTGGCTTGGAGGTTATGATTGGTTTTCCTTAGTTTCTTCATAGAAAGTCAGATCCCCTAGCCCCAAGTAGCCGTTTTTTTTGGTCGCTGGCTACAACCACCTTGCAAACACTGTCATCTGGCTGTGGGTCCGAAACCAATGGTAGCATTTTGGGGTAGGCGCACCACCCATTCTAGTCTATTGTGGTGGGGATTGGGATGTTCACTGGGGGTACGGGATTTGACCCATGCCCATCTATGTTCACTTAGGCAACTTTCTTGACCAAACGGAAGAAACAATGGGATTCCCAGTTGAAAATCAGGGCGGAATCCACTGGGCAACTGGGCAGGTGTTCCAAGAAAACCAAAAATCTCCATTTGCTCAAGTCCCCTGGAAAAACGCAAAACGTATTTCCAGTAGCGAAACTAATTTTCGTTTAGAACCAACAAAAGAAAATGTGGCCACTTTCTTACCCAAAAGGAACTCGGCTGCTGTCTGATCCCCTGCTAAAAGTTTAACTTTTAGTGGTTTTATACGGAAACCCCATTAGTTGGCAAAGAGTTAAGGTCCTAACATCCAAGCAAAAATGCACCAAACGGAAAAAAAGTCGGCTGAGTCAATGCGAGGCGCTGCAGGTTGGGCATGTTCAGCCGGATGCGCAGGGTGGCCTCTCCGGCCGTCTCCTCCGGCAGCACCGGGGGCTGCAGCACCAAAAGCTTCAGCAAGCCCTTCTCGTTCTCCCGCATCCAGTTGAAGGGGTCCATCTCCTCAAATCAGGCAAGACGCATTTCAGTCGATTCCCCTCTCCAAAGAACGAGAAAAACCACTTGTTCTTTGCATTTTTTTGAAACTTCAGCGGATGACCCTAATCAAAAAGACGCATTGTGGATGGCCAAAGAAAAGGAACCAACATGTTGGGTTGACGGGGGGGGGTGCCCGGACTTTCATGCTGCCCCGCGCATGCCAATCCTCAGCGTGCTTGCGGCTGCCGAGCGGGGGGGAGGGGACGGGGGGCGGGATGGAAAGAACACGGGTCAATGTTTCCAGCATGTCGAGGCCAACCTGTGTTTCAAAATAGTCGATCCCGACCCCCCAGCACCACACGCCATGTGGCTTCTCCGCTATCTTCGCGCTCTACGCGGCTGCGCAGTCCCAATTGCTTATCTGACACGTGGTTTTAGACACCTGGAGTCCAAGAGTGGAGTCTTCTTGCGTTTGGAGGAGCTACCTTCCCGTATGCTGCTCTTTATCTCCGCTGCGCTCTTGGTACCGATGGGCAGCTGCATGAAAATGTTGGTGGCATTCTGAAGGTCTCTCACTAAGAGAGTCAAGCCACAGTCCAGGAGCCTGCTTCGAGCAAATGAGAATGCTGCGCCTGCCAGCACCGCGTAATCGAATCCGAGATTCGAATACGCGCCGCGAAGTTGGACATTTGCAGACTTTGCTGTGATCCAACCAAAGCCACGGTTCACTGCTATTCGCACAGGATTTGCACAATTCCCAAGCCGCGTCCAAGAGTAACCGTCATTCGGTCCGGGCAACCCCCCCCCCCCCGGCAACCCAACATGTTGTTTGCTTGTTTTTGTTTAGCACTATGGTCCAAAATGGCTGTGGGTCAAAGATGGGTACCCAAAATGGGTTGCCCTGGTAAGTGGAAATTTGGACCATGCATAATCCCTCCTGTTTAATTTTGAGCCACACCCAAATCGAAAAAGACGCACTGTGGATGGCCCTCCAAAAACAAACCAAATGAAAAAGACGCTCTTCCCCTCCCAAAAATCCTCAATTCAACCACCAGGAATTGGACCACTGGTTTTAGTCATTGTTTCCATTTGCCAGGCTGCCATTTTGGGTACTTTTTTTGACCCACAGCCAAATGAAAGACGCTCTTCCCCTCCCAAAAAATCAAAAAACACACCTGTTGCTTGTCTTTATTTGAACTAGCTGCAGTGGATGGCCCCGCAACAAAAGGAACCAACATGTTGTTTGTTTTTGTTGCTTAGCACTATGGTCCAAGCCCGAAAAGTGCGTAAAGTCCAGGAACTCAGGAAGTGAGACTTGTGTGCTCGACTAACCCAGCTACAACAGTTAACCATGGTTATAAGCTACTAAATGCTTTCCCTTTCCATCTGGCTTTACTTTTAATTTGCCAGGATTCATCAAGTGGTGCGTTCCCCCGGTTTTGTTTGTAAGTTTTGTTGAGTTGGCTCGAATCTGGTGCTTTCCCTGGTTATGTTTGTAAGTTTCGTTGATCAAGGGGTATTGAGTCAACTTCTGGTTTCCCTGGTTTTGTATTGAAAGTCTTGTTGTTGTTCTAAGCAAATGGTAGAACTGGTTGCCATCTCTAAGTCTCCCATGGGGTCAATTGAGTTTTGGTGGCCTGTCTCCCGTGTCTTTCTGTCTTGAACTGGTGCTTGGTGGGTTTGTTGCCTGCCATTTCCTCACAGTCCGTCTCAAAATGTGAGTTCTCCAACAAAACACGTGCGGGGACCTGGCTCTGGTATGATTGAACCAAGGGAAGTCCTCAAATCTTCTCACAGATTGTGGCCTTTTCGCCCAAGTTTCCTCTTTCAGCTCAAATATTTGACTGCTGCATTTCTTTGTGCGTTTTTGTGATCGATTGGCTCCCTGTTGAAGAAAGTCCAGTTCCGCCGTCTGGTTTTACCATCACGCTCGCTGGCCATGCCAAGGTGTAAGTCTCATCAAGCCCTCAGTCTTGGAAGACTCTATTCCGTTGTAAAGAAAACACAAAGACTTCCCTTTCAGAACAAACACCTTTCACTCAGTCAACGTGGCCCACCAAACGCCTTTGGGTATGACTTCAAAACTGGGACCTGCTCATCCATAAGTGGGGCCCTTCCCCAGAAAACACAGACATGCACCATGGGCGAAACAAAATCTCCACCGTCCCTGCCCCCTTGAGGGCGAAGAGCAACCCGGAGTCCCTCAGAAAGGAACTGGGTTCAACGGAAAAGGGGGAGGCGCCTGAGAGGAAATCAGCCATGTCGCTCGCACACGTCATTTGGATCTGCGCTTTTTAAGGGGGGCCCAAACAAATGGTGGCTTTCCTCCTGGTTTTCCCCGTGAACCCAACCAAACAGGGGTACCCTCAAACAAAGCACACACCCATTTGCCGAGTTTCCCTAATTAGGTAGTCACTTCCATGTCTCGGACATTGCCGTGCACTATTTATCAACCTTGTGAGTAGGATAATGGTTCAGCGACATCGGGCAACAAGGCAAAAAGTAAAGGTTCAACTTCCCCGTGGGGAAATCAAATCGGCAGGTCCAAAGATCCCTAATTCCCAAACTGGAAATCCGGGCACGCCCTCCACAAGGGACCTTCATCATGTGGAGCTCATCCTACCCCAAGGTGATGTCATGTTAATTGGGCCAATGTGCCACAAACCTGCTCGCGCCAAGGGGCTCGCAAGCGGCAGGGAGGGCATAGAAAAGTGCCATCCTGGCAGGAAAGAGAACATCTGAAAGGGTTTATGCCTTGGAGCACCGAACGGATGCCTTCTTGAGGCATCCAGCATGATCCAACTTGGATCCCTGAAAAGGGCTTCCGTCCCGGTCTCCTTCGGGTTCCCTTAGTCTACGAGTCCTGCTGGGTCTGAATGAAAACATTTGGATTGCACTGGCGTCAGGAATCACCTCCGGTGGCATCAAGGGCCCTTCTGTTCAGAACAGCGTAGCACTCCACACCCCCAAACACAAAACAAATGAGAAAGTTCTCAAGAGACTGTTGACGCAGGTCCCATTCCATGATTTTATCGTTCTCGAAGTCACCCCAAAGGTGGCATCGCATCATGCCTGAAATAATCATGTTCAGCCAAGGTTGGGTAGGCTTCAACCCAGTTTGATTTTCCCGATCGCAACCGATTTGTCACGTCCACCTTTACTCCAAATAGGACCAAGGGTTTAACACCCAGAAATCACCACCCACTACACCATCCACTAGTCACCCACTAAACTGGGCTGCTCTCAGGTCCCCTGCTACCAGTCTAACTTTCAGTGGGTGGAAACTACCACTACACCCTAACCGAAAAACCTGGATGGAAATCGAGATCGGGAAGCACCAGGTAAGCCAATTGGGAGATCCCGTCCTTCAGATCCGGGATGCGGCGGAGGTTGGAGCTCTGCTGACACTTGCGGCAGATCAGGGCACTCTGGTTCCGGTGGTAGCTCGGTCGCTCCTACCAGCCAGGAACACTGATTTCTTTGGGGACTCTCTAGGCTCATTCCTAAAATCCGTGTGGTTCTTTTCCCAGAAACTCATTGCAAAGGACAAGGGATCCTTACCCTCGGCGCTCCCAACTTACCTTACCTCAGAGCTGCGAGGTAAACGCAAGAACCACACCCGGGCAAGAGTCGTGATAAGACAAGCTATGGGCGGTTTAAGGGTTCTGCAAGCTTTATGGGCAAGTTTGGCTTTGACAAATCACAATCGGAGTAAACATGAACAAGCAAACCTTGGCTGGCCCTTGCCGCCCAGTCAAACTGTTTTGACAGCCAACTCGTCGAGCATCCGGGTCGCGCACGCAAACGAGTCTATTTGAACTGAAGATAAAGTCCTTTCGAGAATCGTATTTGTCGATATATTCAGGAACCTGGTCCCTTGAATTTCACAATGGGGTCACCGTTTTGACCCCTAGGATTCGCTCGGAAGGCTAGCGCTTTGTTTTGCTGACGAATAAACGAGTGACCCCTAACGCATTCCCATCAACAATGCTGAACACATGTACAACGAAGCAGTTTCCAACTCTTCGTCTGACCTATGAGTGAGATGCGTCAGCATGACCCCTGTGTTGAGCTATCTTTCTCGGGTTCATGTTCGCTGGATGTCATGCACTCTGCCAACACATTCGTCAGGGTTTACCTTGTATGTAGGTGTACACCTGCTTAGTTGTTCTCGCAGTTCTACCCTGATTGAGATCATATGTTTACCTGGGTATAGGCCCTGGAGTCTGTCAACACAAGTCATCAAGGAAGCATGTTGCATGTATTCAAGGAAACCCTCTTGAAACATATGAGGGACCTAAATGGGAAATTGCAAATAACCACCTGAGCATCAAGCAACCTCACCCATCCAGAGTCCCTATAGATCTCTTCTTGACACACGAATGACAACCTGCCAAGTCGCCATCTCATGTGTCCAACAACAGGGTTCCCTGTACTTCCCCTTAAAAGATCGAGGAAAGCACAACTTGATTTGGGCGCCACAAAATGACTTGAAGTATAGCGGGCTACATAAAGTACGAATAAGGTTGTGACTTTGAAACTTAATTCAGTCAATGCTACCTTGATTTGCGTACCTAGAAGTCCGTCAGCCATTTGGCAGTGGGTCAAAACCCTGTCCCCCTTCTGAAAATCAAAATAGGTGGCAAACGGATCCAAAATGGAGCCATAGGTTATGCCCCATGGCCATTCTTAGGGACTCCTGACCAACCCAACCCGCTGACCGACGGCTCCAGGCAAGGCTTCACGGGAACCAGGCGGTTGCGCTCCGCCTGAGCGAAACGCAGTCGGATCGGAGAAAACGCGCAGGAAAAAGGGGCCCGGAGGTCGATCGCCGCGTGTCTCCCAAATAGTGCAGCTCTTTGATCCAGATCGGTCAAAAGACCCTTCCCCTGCTGCGCATGGCTAGAGATCGCCATGAGCGCCTTCGCCAAAAACCGCCTGGGTTCCAACGCTTCTTGGATTCGCTCTTTGGGTTTGTCTTTATCGAGGGCATCCTTTGGCCTCCCTTCAGCTTCTCTTTGCCAGCCCCAACCTCTGAAGGGTGGCTTCCCTTTTGATTCTCCGTTGGTGTCTCTTCACCCAGGTTTGGGATCGTCTCAAAATCGGGGAACCCCCGAAGAAAAAAGATGACTTCCTCGTGGCTTCCCCTGAACAGCCCCAACAGACTACGAACTCAAAACCCACACGCCACACGCCAGCGCCTCGCCTTCCTCTCCGCAGCCTTCTTTTCCGCCGCCTTCTGCAGAAACGCCGCCTTCTCTTTGGCCTCGCGTTCTTTCCCAACGGGTCCGGGAAAAGAGACTGAACCTGCCCACTCACGGGTGCCCTAGGGCGCCAAGATCTTGGTGTGGTCAAACCGTCCCTTTGGGCCTATTGCGAGTATAGTTTATCAGACGAATTGGCCTTCTGGCCAAGTCTTCGAGCCAGTCTGTGACTGTACCAATATGAGTGTGTCTTTTCTCGGGAGGCCCCCCGAACTGGCGGTGGTCCTTTCAGTTTCCCTTCTGACCACAAACAAGGGTTCTTTGAAAAAAAAGAAAATACCGACGTGGAATTTCCGTGCTGACATTAGAGAGACCACAAACAATCAGAAACAAACTGTTGAAAGCCAGACTTCAGAGGGCGACATAATTATTCAAAGGGCTTCAGCAGAAACAAATGTTGTCTTTTCGGAAGGCCTTTGGCAAACTGACAAATGGTCTAAGCGGAATTTCGGAGCTCTAGCATCTGCAGAGGCACCTTTTCTCGCGATATTGACCTGAGGCCTTGTTCGTCATGCTCCTAGAAGAAAGTCATGAAGGGATCCAGGAAGGGATCCCAGAAATACACAAGCGCCCCAAAACCAAAAGGACCGCCAACCGAAAGGACGCCTTCTTTATGATGTAAACGGCTATGAGTTGCAATGGACACCTGCATGTTGTTGATGTAAACTCCCATGAGTTGCACTTAAAACTGGGCTGTCCTCAGATCCCCTGCTAAAAGTGAGTAACTGTTCTTTGTTTAAATGGACATCCCCACTACACCACCTAGAAGCAACTAAAAAGCAAAGGAACCGGACTGGGAGTTCGCCAAGTTGAAAGGAGATGCCAATGGTCCATCCAAGAGTCCCTCTGCCGGCATTTCAAGCAGTAGCCGTCCTGACGGTGCCGGTGGTTCAAAAGGCTTCGCCAAATGTTCCCAGCCCACAGCTTTACAGCTTTCGCGGGAGAGAAGTGCGAGTGGAGGTGGAAAGTCGGTCAGCAGAAGTCACTTTTTGGGCGGGAAAGTCAAATGGAATTTCAAGGTTTGCCAGAGGAGGATTGCGTCGAACACACCCGGCCTCGGAGCTGGCTGTTCTATGCAAGAGATTTGCGTGCATGTGTGTGTGTGTATATGTGTGTGTGTGTTTGAATATTTAAAAGATTTAGAAAAGCCACAACTCGGAGAAAAAAAACAAAAAAAACACATAGCGGCAAGCTTGAAATCCGAGCAAACGGATGTGGAAACAATCCGATCCAGTCACACGAGAACCGAATAAAGTCAAGCGAGTGAGCGCACGTGAGTGCTCAAGTAGCCTGAAGCATGAGGGAGTGATAAGGGGCATTTCAACCTCCTGAAGTACATGGAGCAAAACTCCGATGGCAAATGCCCGACACTCGACAAGCCCTCCTTCAACTCAGCAGCACGGCTGGGGTCAGCCTTCTGCCGACATTTCCGGCAGTGAAGACCGCTGCGGCTTGGATGTGCCTCCTGTCCGACGGGCGTCGTAGGGGCAAGGGCCTTGGAGGAAATCGATGGTTCATTCCCCTTAAGGGTTTGTATTTTGGGGTGTCGCTTTTTTGGATTTGGACCCCTGTGGTCGGTTTTTTGCCCTGAACAAAACAACAAAACAAGGGGGGTACCCTGGTGCCACAGGAAGGGAATGAGACATGGAATGACGCCTACACCATCCAACTGGTGGGTTCCTTTGATGGGACCCCGGCTTTCATTCCCTCATTCCCCACTGAATGCCAGCAAGTTTGAATGCTTCAAGAAGTCTGCAGAGCAATGGCTCCTTCACACCTTTTGCGCTTTTGGCCCTCTGCCAGCCGGCAACTACCAGCCAAGCACCAAACTACACCACTTGCAACAAGAAAAGAACACATCCATCGCACAGAGATAGCATTCCGGTCCTTTGGGCTGCCATTCTTCGCCAGCAGGCTGCCATGGGCGCTGTGGGACCGCGACAAGCCGGAGGCGCTGTGGGCGCTGTGGGCGCTCTGGGCGCTCTGGGTGCGGTGGAGCGAGCCGCTGCCGGCACGGAGCAAGCCGTGGCCGGAGGAGGATCGGCCCAAGGAGCCGTGAGAGCCGCTGTGCCGCAAATTCTTCAGCTGCTGGGCCTGGAGAACCGCAAGCGTTGAGTGGAAAAAGGCGCTCGGAGGTGATGGAGGCGTATCCTTTTTATTAGCTTCAAGCCTGCTACTTGAGGGGCTTTGAAGAAGTCAAGCAAGGAATCTATTGGCCAAAGTCTCTGATACACAACGGGAACATGTTCAATTCCAAAACCGTCAAAGATTCGTCAACGACCTTCTTGATATAAAAAAATCCCCCGAGACCTGCGAGGGTCCTGACTGGTCGAATCTCTCGAAGTTGGTCCTTTGATATATTGCCATTTTCCAGGAATGACCTGGATTCAGAAGAAACGAAACATGCCAAAGAGTGGATGACCCACGTCATACGTTCTACAGCTACCAAACCAAAAAATCAAGACCCTAAGCCCCTACGACCCATTCACCGCCCATCTCACTTGTGGCACAATCAAAAACGGGCAGGCTGGAAAAACTCGTCGGTGTTCGCCCCGGGAGGGTTTCGCACGGTTTCGCGTTTCGCCTTCTGCTCTGCAGCCTTCCGGAGCGCTGCTGCTTTCTCCTTGGCCTTCGATGGACGTCACTGGCGTCGGCTCAACGTGCGATCGGCTGAGGGTCCCTTTATCGAATCCGTGGTTGCCCCCCAAGACGGTAGGTTTCCCATTGGCTTCCCTATTAAACAAGGGGGTTGAGAAAAGCAGGTGCCATATGTGTATACATGTCATGTATATCATATAATATGTTTGTGTATAGAAAGAACCTGGGGATTTCCCGGATAAAGGAAACCGCCTGTATGGTTTACACGGGTCATGTCTCATTCCCTGCTGAGAACCAGCAGGTCAAACCACTCGAGAGTTACCTGACATTGGAACACTGCCTGCGGCTTGCAGCTGTGTATTGTTGAGCCACAAAGGACCTGGAGATTTTCTGGAAGTTCTTGACTAGAGTTGTTACATGTGGACAGATCCGCTCGATTCGCTACAAATCCCAACGCTCGAGTTCCGAGCGCTACGCTTTTGGGTACGCTGTCCGAGCGGATTCTCGACCCCTAAAGATCGGAGTAGTACCGAGGAAAACCGAGGAAAACCGATGTACCTAGAGTCTCCATGACCCGAATCAAAAATAGGTCCGCGACCCCATTATTTGGGGGAATGCCTCCCCATTTTTAAAGGGTCATGGAGACTCCAGCTAAAGGTAATCAAAGCCACCATATCTTTTTTGAAAGGCGAGGACATATTACCCATTGCATCCAATATATCTGTTATATCCATTATACTGTTATACTGGTAACTGCTTAGCCTTTGGCGTAGCAGATGCCCAAAGCTTGAGTTTCAGGCTGCTTCAAAATGACATGAGACAACCCTGCCAAGAGGGAGAGACCACCAAGGCCTGACGTTTTTCTTGCGCAAGAGAACAGAAGAGCATAATTTGGCGCAATCTGGCAAAACACGAATACACAACGGGGCTCCATGTTGATTTGGAGCTCACGACACTGGCTTGTTGCCCTGTAAACTCACAACCAACACAGTTTCCCTCTTCTGCTGGCTTCAAAAACGCTCCCAAAAAACAATTGACACACACACACACGACATCTTCTACAGGAAAAAACAAAAAAGCACCAAGCTCCTTTTGGGGGACCCCCTCTCTTGGTAAACCATGCTTTAGGGAACATCTGCCTGCCACGAACCCCCCCTCTCGTCGGCGGCACCTTCTGCGCGGCTTTGAGCGCCTCGGCCTTTTTCGCCTGCCGTTGATGTAGCTTTCGTTCCGAAAGAGCGTTCGGGTTTTGTGTTCCCTATAGTCCCAAGACCCATGAAGTCTTTTGGGGTAGGTCCTCATATTCCAGGTCTTGGGATAGGGCTGTGGATTTTGAGGGTTCCAGTTTTGAACAAGTTGGATGAAAGGAGAACTACCATTTTGAAGCGCCAAATCCATTTGTGTGACACATAAACCCGAATGGCAGGGATGCATTTGCATCCCACTTTGGCATCACATGAATTGGGCCAAATGTCCAACATGCTATCTGACCTAGGACCATCCAAATGGGTATTTTTCCGAGATCAGAGAGGACCCTTTTGTCTTGAAGATCGAGATCTATGTACTATACACTCACGGCCCAAAATGTGGTTAACATCTGAGTCATAATCAAAACCTGGCACAAAGATGGTGAAGCCAAAACCATGTAAAGAGTTACCGAAGGCAGATATCCGCACCTATCTTTGGTTGGGAGTGTCCCTAACCTTCACTTACCCGGATTTTGATTGTCCAGGCCCTTCAGTAGAGAGGTTAGAATAAGGGTGCCCTTTTTTCTGTAGTCTATAGTAGGGGAACCCTCGCCCAAAAAAGGGTACTACTGGCACTACTGGGGGACCTAGTTGTAGCTCACATCCTGTGCTTGGACTCTGTGAGGCCCCAAGCCATTCGACAAGCTTCTGGCGCGCCTCGTCTAGGCCATCGGCCTTGCGCTTCAGCGAGCCTGCGCGAGTCGAAGCGATCCCAAGAGACACCCCATGCTGTGAATGTCAATCAGGGACCCTTTGGTGGACATCATTTTGGTGGGGAGTCATGTCCACCAACCACTTTGAAGGTGGTTCCCTAGTAAAATTCATAGCCCGATCCGACCAGTCACTGAACATCTTATATCCCAGAAGCTGAAAGGATCCTTTGAGGATGGTTGTTTGGCGGTTGGACTCGGATGGAAAAGTACAAGTGGAAGTACAAGTACGTTGACATTGACTAGGGCCGAGCACTGATTCAGTGGAGATTCAAGCCGAGGACCCTTCGGTGAAGTCATGTGGCCACGGGTCAAAAGCCCGTACCGACTGTGAACATCCCAAGCCCCACTAAATAAGTTCTAAAATGCGTGGTGCACCGAAAACCCCAGAATAGTACTATTGGTTTTGACCCACAGCCATGTTTGTTTTCTGAAGATCCATCTGGCGACAAGTCTCCATTCCGAACAAGTCCGAAGAGCTTGGGGGGCGGCTCACGAGCTCTGGTCTCGCCAAAATGGGTCCGGTGTGATGCTCTTGGGTTTGCCTTCCGATCCCCAAACAGGAGAAACGGACACCCATGAAAAAGCCATAAACAAACAGGTGTGGGGCAGATTTCCTTCGAGCTCGTGCTGTGGTTTGGTTTGGGGATTCTTACATTTGTGAGGGTACACTTCTGTTTGGAAGTCTCTTTAAAGGGAAAGCCTTTGTATTTACACGGCACAACCACATCAAGCAAACATATGTGTGCCCCTGCCTGGTTGGAGTGTTTGGGTTCCAGCAACTTCATTGCCCGACCCTAGCCCCCCGAAACATACTTAGAGACCCAGCAACGTCCCAGCCTAAAGCCTTGTTAACATTGCCAAACATCATTCCAGGATACTCCTGCAACATGGTCTTCAGCGCAACATGGTTCTTTTTGCATCAGCTTAGCAAAACATGGTTGGGAACATGAGGTTCCATGAAGGCTGAGGCCTGCATTTGGTCTTTTGGTCTCTGGCCCACGCCGCAAGCCTCCGCGGCTTGACCAAAGCGGATTTGCCTCGGCAAGCCAAAACCAAATTAGCGAGTCTCCCATGCCCCTCCTAAATGGACCGCAAACTTGCCATTCTGACCGAACCTCATGTAGCCAAGCACAAGCACCACTTTTGAAGGAAGAGTACTGGCTGACTCTTGGTCAGCCCAGGCAATCTACGCGTACCGGGTTGAGTGCTTTCTTTGCTTCAGACATGACCGTCACTACCCTGTCCTTCTTGGTAGCTCCTCAGCTCCCTCATTGAAAGCAAATTTGGCTACCCCCAGCTTGTTGCCTCCCCTCCAACCACCAGCTAGGCTACCATACCCAGAGTGAAAGCAGGTAGCAATTCCCTTCGGGTTGGCAAGCGAAGGGATCTACTTCCGCCTTCTGATTCATGTTGACCCCATATTAATCAACCCCTGTTTGTTAGTAGGGGTGTGTGTCTGGGTGAAATGTGGGGAATCAGACCACTTTTGGAGGGAACCCCCCCCATTAACAAACTGGTGTTGATTAATTCATATGGGGTCAACATGTATCAGGAGGCCAAAGAGCAGCTGTTCCAGAGACAAAAGCTCATGGCGACAGGGCGACCGATTTGTCCAACATCCTGGGCGAGGCGAAACAACACTTGTCAAAAATGACCTTCCTAAATGATATGAAATTCTTGTGGGCATAGGTGTCCTTTTATAGGAAATAGATGGCCCTGGTAGATGATTAAACCACCAGGTAAACCAAGGCCATCTATTTTTCTACCAAACCAACCAAAAAGGACACTTATGCTTGTGGGGCCATAACTGCAAAGGAAACTACCCAGCGGACATCCAAAACGTATCCCCCATTCCCAGTGACCTCTGGGGCCCCAGCATTCATGGCGCCATCCGGGGCGAAAATGACAAATGGTTGGATGTCGGATAAGTGTTGCCTTTCTGTTCTTGGACGATCTTGGATGTTGCTCTCTTTCTCTTTGTTGCGATGCTGCGTTTGGTTGCCGGGTCTGGCCTTCCAAATCTGTGGCTCTCCGCGTAGCGCTCGAACTCGCCGCTGCGAACGGTTTGCTGCTTGGCTGCTTGGGCAAGGAATGACTCGCTGACCGTGCCCGAAAAGCTCCATTCTCCTTGTGCGGGCGCTTGGCATATGTCTGGCCAGTTCTTGGCTGAGAGCCGAAAATACCCCCAATTCCGCCAGGAAGCTAGTTGCCAGCCTGAGCACAACGTGTGCCCATCGAAAACTGGAAGATGAGTCAGAATCCCAACCAAAACGACCGGCCGAGAAAGCATGCCCAAAATCCACATCTTTGGTTGGGATCCCTTCATCATTGTGGATCCCAGCATGGGGACATGGCACCATGTCATGGACGGAATGGTCTTGGATACAGGGAACTGGGTGTGTCGCAAGGCGAACCCATTTTTTCTTCGTTTTGCCTACATCCCTTTAAACCGACCCTGAAAAGGGTACCCTCAAAAAGACAGACGGGCCCTCAAGTCAAAAGATCGGCCGCACGAGGGCATGCCAGCCGCTCAAGAAAAGGAAAGGCGACCGCAAAGGCTCGGAGCACTTGGACGTGTTGACCTGAGGCCGAACGTCGAATGGGTTGATCTGTATCGCCAAGTTCTGGGTGGCAAATGCGGAGGGAAAACTGGCTGAATATAGCACACCAATTACCATGAGGTACTTTGTGAGTGGGTTCGAGAAAAAAAAAAAAGGTTCTAGGATGCTGCACACATGATTGTCCTTTAAGTGCAAGCCATCGGAACCGATTTGCAGAACCCCTTCAATGGGTCCCGTGAGTTTTGTGACCTGTTTGGATTTGCTTTGAAACTTGAACCTCTGTCTGGTCAGTCTCGCGGAAATTGCAGGCGTTGACTGGACGCATCGGTTGGTGGGCCCTTCTTCCACAATCAAAACACAAATCGTGCACGTGGATCGACGGTCATATGTCTATAACATTTATAGACATATATGTTGCCATCTCGCGAACACAAGCAACAAACACATGCAGGGAGGGAGGGACAAAGAGAGCAAGAGAGAGAGAGAGAGAAGAGCGGGAGACGCTACTTTGTCTTTCCGACCAGCTGAGTCGACTGGGCACAAGCCGTTTGGTGGCCTTTGAGTTGAGCAACAAGTCCAAAGCTTTGAAGCTGCTACAACGTAAGTATTAGCATAGAGCGAGCTTTAAGCCACGTCCCTTCGCGCATGGCTGGTCCAAAACGAGTGTCTGAGAAGCCTTTGAGTCGTCTGGAAGCCAACGCTTCAATCCAGACGCAGGGGTCCGCAATTGGGTCTGAGCACAGGTGTTTTGGTTGAAAATAGATGGCCCTGGTAGATTCTTTATACCAGGTCCAGAAATCAAAACAACCAAAGTCACCTATGGCTCTGAGTCTAGGAGCCTTCCAAGTTGGTTCCCGAGACGCGCCCGCATGTTTTCCAAGGTTGAAGCCAGGTCCCAACAAAATATAAAGCAAGCACCGACACAAAACAAGATAAGGAAACTCACCAAAAGAGGGGTGGTCCAACTTCTTGCCTTGTGACATGAAGAGGGCAGCGCCAAAATAAAAGCTTAACCGCAGCCTGGAGGACACACCAGGGTGAGAGTGGAAGGCGTTTCTCACTTGCCTATGAGAGGATGACGCAACCTAAATAGGAAGGTTGTGACATCCATGTGCACCCAACTGCAACAAAAACAGCGCCGCCAACTATGCTCCAGGCAAGTGACAGCAACAACACAGGTCACATGTCTGTACTGCACAGGGAGGTCACTGCACCATATTTGGGGGGTCGCAAAAGAACTGATCCAGTGCCATTGCTGTTCCAAGCGGTCTTTGTGACTTGGAGCGACTGGCGCTTGAACTAATGCGAGACCGATTTGCACTGTCTCTGCCAACTGTAGCCTTGGTGATGTGGATCTGCATCTCCCCAAACAAGCGACGCTGGGTAGGTATGTGTGACTCGAGAGGGCTCCCTATGTTATATTTCCCTTTGAAACATCGCCCCCCAGAAATATATTCAGGTTTCATGGGCGAAAGAGGTGACCTTCTCTGCCCCAGCCGAGCTCCCGGCCAAGCTCCCGCTTCCAACCATCCCGGCCAGATGTGTAAAACCACCAAGGGAGAAATCTCGGGAGCCCTGACAAACGGACTGAGCCTGAGTGCCCCTACCAAGTCGATGACCAAGCCCACGGGGGTCCCCTAACGTGAGCGTCCGGAAGGGCCAAGCGAACGCGAACGCGAGTCCGGATCCGGCCACCAAGGCAACAGGTTCGCCGGGGTGGGTTGGATGTGCGATTTTTTTTGGGGGGTCTTCATTTTCCTTTGTGGCAATGCCAGACCTGGTGGCTGACTCGTCACTTTTCTGCCGGTTAGGTGTGTGACGAGTTGATTGGCAAAAGGCTTAAAGTGCCGCCACGTCGCCAACATCACCATGTCAAAACTAAAAAGCAGACCAAACAAGAAACTGAGCACTCGGAGTGGTGCCGACTTGCTTTGACATGCGCTCGTTGACTCATCCCCGCTTCATTCTCTTTGCAACCCGCCCGGCAGTCTAGTCTCACCAGTGCACGTGCCTTCTCCTCGCAAATATGCAGGAGATCCTGCAGTGAAACATGCCGTTGTCTGCTGACCCGGATGTCGGTTCTCCCTCAAAACCAAGCCAAACCAAGCCAGATCTCCATCCGAAAACGTAGAGGACTCTCCGTTGGCAGATCTCATTGGACGGGACTCGCCAGGTGAAATGAACTCAAGGGCTTGATGCTGTCACCTTCGCCGCGGGAGTTGTGTGCGTGTGTGCGTGTTTTTGGCGTACCCTTTCCAGGTTAGTTTACAGGAAAACCAACAGGAGAATCGGAATTTGGGGATTCTCATTTTTGGCGCGCACACACTGACATGCTCATATGATTGACCTGTGCCAGCGATCGGGACCCATCAATTAGAACTGGGTCACTGAAAGGTTGCATTTGTTCCATGCCTGGAACCTGTCCCTGAAAGGTTGCATTCATGATGGGTTCCATGCTATCTTGGAAAACCGGGACCCACCAAACCCGACACCACCCCGCCTCCTTGCCAAACCACTGGTCCTCCGGCAATAGGCCCTGGTTATAGGCCCACCGCGCCAAGGAGCCCTGGCCATTTGGAGAATTTGCGCATCATCTGGTTCACTGGCCATTCAACTTCACCTGTTCCCGGGTTCTTTCCTGTATTCTTATATATACATATGTGTGTATAGCATATATATATATAGACATCAACATGGTAACTGCCTAGTCTATACACAACATAATGCCGGCTCTCCATTTGCACTTGCCCCTACTTAGAATTTGCGCGGCACAGGAAGTTCTTGCAAACACCATCGCCGAAAACTGGGAAGTATGTGCAAGCAGCCGCGGCGATGTTCATTATGAATATGTATATTTTTAGGAGACAGGATTCTACCTTTCGGTATGCGGCATGCATGTTGCCTTTCTGCGGCGCTGAAAGCACGACAGCCTGAGCGGCTGTTCTCCTCAGACTGGGATGCAACCCAGCTTCCCTCTCATTGGTGGTTTGGATTTGTTGGTTTGGAGGTTGGGGTCGCTATTTACCCTCTACAAGAACCAGGAGTCCAATCCCGCACCAATCCAAACCACCAATTCAGGTTTCCTCAGACACAGTTCTAGGGGGTGACTCCCCATTCTTGTCAGCCATCGCTCTTTCAAAAACCAGCCATTTCTCCAGGTTTTTCGTGGTTTTCTAGAAAGAAGGATCCCTGGAAAGAATTGAAATGGAAGGTACCTCTAGAACAGTACTTGAATCTTTGGATCTGAGATTCACTGGGGAGATGGCCCGAGGCAACCGTAGCAAGGCTTGGGGACATGTTGGGGAAACACACCAGCTTCAAGTTCCCAAGATAATATTTGCACTTTTGTGTGGATGTGGATAATTGATTTAGGTACCTTAGAAATGGCCGGTTGCATTCGGTTGCCCTTTGGTGATCAACAAAAACAAGAACAAGAACGAGAACGAGAACAAGAACAGGAACAGGAACAGGAACAGGAACAGGAACAAGAACAAGAACAAGAAAAAGAACAAGAACAAGAACAAGAAGAAGAAGAATAAGAAGAAGAAGAACAATAACAAGAACAAGAACAATAACAACAACAACAACAACAACAACAACAACAACAACAACAACAACAACAACAACAACAACAACAACAACAACAACAACAACAACAACAACAACAACAACAACAACAACAACAACAACAACAACAACAACAACAACAACAACAACAACAACAACAACAACAACAACAACAACAACAACAACAACAACAACAACAACAACAACAACAACAACAACAACAACAACAACAACAACAACAACAACAACAACAACAACAACAACAACAACAACAACAACAACAACAACAACAACAACAACAACAACAACAACAACAACAACAACAACAACAACAACAACAACAACAACAACAACAACAACAACAACAACAACAACAACAACAACAACAACAACAACAACAACAACAACAACAACAACAACAACAACAACAACAACAACAACGACAACAACAACAACAACAACAACAACAACAACAACAACAACAACAACAACAACAACAACCACAACAACAGCAACAACAACAACAACAATGGCAACGACAACGACAACGACAACGACAACAACGACAACAACCAAGAACCAAGAACCAAGAACCAAGAACCAAGAACCAACAACCAACAACCAACAACCAACAACCAACAAACAACAAACAACAAACAACAAACAACAAACAACAAAAAACCAACAACCAACAATCAACAACCAACAACCAACAACCAACAACCACATAAGCCCACATACCCAGCTTTTTTCCGTCGCGCAGATGGCACTATGCCCTTTTTTCTCCCGAAAGCATCGCGAAGGGCTCTTCCGCCCGGAGCTCTCGGACTTACTTGCATAGAGTCACTTGCGCAGAGTCAAATACATAGAGCCAAGTGCATGGAGCCAAGTGCATAGAGCCGTGCATAGAGCAGAGTGCATAGAGCAAATGCATAGAGCCAAGTGCGTAGAGCAAGTGTGCATAGAGCCAAGTGCATAGAGCCGAGTGCACAGAGCCGAGTGCATAGAGCCGAGTGCATAGAGCCAAGTGCATGCAGCCAAGCGCATAGAGCCAAGTGCATAGAGGCAAGGTCATAGGGCCGAGTGCACAGAGGCGAGTGCGTAAAGCCAAGTGCATCGAGCCAAGTGCATAGAGCGCTTCGGCGTTAGCAGCTATGTAAGTTAAGACCCTCTGCGGGGATGGGCGTGGTCGAGGTGCCAAAACTTGAGCTTTTGTGCGATTCTTGCGGCGCCCGCGCGACCCTCTGCGGGGATCGGCGTGCTCGAGGTGCAAAAACAAAGTGTTTTTGCGATTCTTGCGGTGCCCGCGCGACCCTCTGCGGGGATCGGCGTGGTCGAGGTGCAAAAACTCGAGGTTTTTTGCGACACTCTGCGGGGATCGGCGTGGTCGAGGTGCAAAAACTCGAGGTTTTTTTGCGATTTACCCGCGCGACCCTCTGCGGGGATCGGCGTGGTCGAGGTGCAAAAACTGCAGATTTGTTGCGTTTTTGCGGTGCGCGGATGAACCCTCTGCGGAGATCGTGCGTGTCGAGTGGCGCCGTGCGAATTCGTTTTAGTCTCGGCGAACCCTCTGCGGAGATCGTGCGTGTCGAAGCGCTCGCTGTGGCGCCGTGCGATTTTATCACTCGCGAAATGGCCTTTGGAAGTTGTCTCGTGGTTTGCGCGCCTGCTTTCGCAATCGCGCAGTCGCGGGTTGGATTCCCCCCTGCTCCGCGGCATGCAGCTCCGGCTCAAGCAAAGAAGCCGTAGTATGTGGAGTGTACTCCTGGCGGCTCCGACCGGAAAATCGCAACCCTGAAGCGCAGACGTATAGTGCGCGGAGCAGCTCAGCTCAGACTGAGCATCTTGCGCACAGATACAAGCGTCGAGCGTCTTGCGGAGAGAAACTTGCACAGAGCAACGTGCACAGAACAGCTTGAAGACAGATGTCGAGTCACTTAGAGAGCAACTTGCGCGGCTTGCGCAGACACTGCCATGTTTCCTCTCGTAGGACGATGAGATGGAGCTCTCATGTGACCATACACATTGAGCATCGCCGCGTGCAGACACGCTCGCCGCATCGATGTAAAAAGGTGTCTCCGCGTCCGCGGCTGGAAGAGCGCTTGGGGAAAAATGCTTTCGGGCCAATTGTCCTCTAGTTCCACTGCAGGCTTTTTGCTTTATCGCGCGACAACCCGTCTATTTGTTCAATCACGGATCACTTGGCATTGCTCAGCGGTGAGTGGTCAAGTGGTCGAGTTCTGAAATCTGACGTCGAGCTCTGAATTACAGTGTGGCAATACCACGAGTACTGAAGCGAAGCCCACTCTTCCTGGAAGCACCACTTTTGCGAAGCGGCGCGTGTGATAGCAGCAGTGATTTGCTAGCCAAGAGGAGGCTGCTCGATCGCCTTGCGCGACCAACATGAGACCGACTGTATGACAAGTGACTTGAACGCAGTCTGGGAAAAAACGACAAGCACTGACAATATCTGCTCTACGTTTTCAGAAAGCACTCATATCATGATGCTCTCATTCACAAAAAATGCCATAAACAGGGAGTGGTTGATTCAGTTGTTTGTCTCAGTGAAACGCTCCCACGCCTGCCTTATTCTTTGTGCATCAACTTCTCCTGCCAGGCTAACAGTGAAGTTCATTTTTGTTTTGCCCAATAACATGTCTTGCGCCATGAAGGCTTCCAAGCTGTAGCATGGATCGGGCGCAGCTTGGATTTTTGATCTCGCCACTGACAAAATCGAGTCATGCCTCATGCTTCTGCGCAGGGAACGGAAGTCTTGTCGTTGCCTCTTCAAATCGAATCGTGCAACGTGGCAAGGCCTTTGCAAATTGCGTCAGCCAGGTGGCTGGCCTGTTTGGGCAAACTTCACAAGTCACATCCTAGCAAGCGTCATGCCAGGCTGAACTTGTTTTGGATACACTGGGCATTGCCTCCCTCAAAACTTTCACTCTTTTGTGCAGCGTCCACTCACTCTTGAAGTTAAGAACAGATCCACCTCTCTGCCTCATGCAAGTGTGTTCATCGAAGGTCTTCACGGCTGACAGAGCTGCAGGCTTAACTTCTTCATGCCACAAACCGGTCCATTCGTTGACTGCATCAGCTTGCATCAGCACCACTTGGTGCGTCTCTTCGGAGCGCGCCCGCAAAATCCAATTCACAGCAGAAGCAGGGCCGGCGGCCCGGATCTTGCTGCGGAAGGGAGAGTTGGTCCTGTCTTTGCGCTGAGATAACAAGCAGTCCACCGAGCGCTTAACACGCATGGCTGAAGTCGACTGGGTGTCCTGCTGCAACGCTTCCTCGTCTGGCAGCAGAATGTCGTTGAAGGCAACCGGACCGTGGCTTGAAGTTCTTCAAGGGAAAGCAAGCCCGAATCAGAGCGAGGCAGCCGGGCAGCCTGTTCCCAAAGAGCAGCGTGGAAGCTCCAGCATGTAGGCGCTCAAGTCCGAGCACCCAGTCTGGAAAAACAAGAACAACTCCAAGAAACGGCACTCGAGCTCCAAGATCTGCTGATATTCGTTTTCCTTGATGCCAGCATAGGGCCCTGGTGGCGCATGGCGGAATCAATGTGTTCATGTGATAGAGCATCATGCTGCACTGACAATCGCTGTCCGCGAACAGGGCGCGCACCGCAATGCGCTTTACCTCCGGCGCTTCCGGGTGAGCCTCAGGGCCGTAAGTTAAACACACCTTGCCAGAGACTATACGCCAAAGAAATGGTTCGTCATGAGAAGAAAAAAACAGCAACCTCCGGCCTGACATGGAAGAGCTTTCTTGCCGCAGGAGGCAAGCACCCACTCATCCGATTCGCGATTCGGAACGTTCAGAACGGAGCCCCATGATCTGCCGGCCCCATACATGGAGGCTGCCATCAGCAAGCTGAGAGTACTTGGCACCGCTTCACACGCTTGCCAATCTCATGTAGGCACCATGCTAAGCATTCGGCAATCTGCCGGATCCAATCCTTGGAGCTGTCCCGAATCTTATTGGCCAAGTCGATCGGGCGGTCCACAATCTGCGTAGCGCGCCAATTCTCTTTCTTCTTATCCACGAGCATCTGGTGCAGCAACACGCATGTCACAGCTGCACATCGCACGACTGCTGCGCAATGGCGTTGCACTCTGCAACACGTCCACCCACTAGCCCAGGATTGTCGTCAATCTGGACGGCCACACAGATTTGTTGCTTATCCTTGACCCGGCCAATGAATGCAAAGGCACTAGAGGATGCACATCCGGAACGCTGTCCCAAGGCAGAGCATCGAGTTTATGCACCGTCACTTGCATTCCATTATAGCACCCCTTTGTCCGCACATGGTAAGGAAGCCTTGATGTAGAGTACGGCTGCGCAGTGGAAATGACCTAGCCCCTTGAATGGACACTGCAGGTCTCCGAGACGACACCGCTGGGTGACCTGTGACGCTTGATCTGCTCAGGCCTCAAGATACGCCACCTCAATGACCGATTCCGTTCCGGCCAAGTGCAGCTCAAGCTTCGTTGAGCTTTTTGGTTGGGATGGCTTTGCTCAACTTCTTGCCACAAAGCCGCTTGCAAAGAGGGGCCTTGCTCTTGACCTCTTGCTCGGCCAAAATTACCACACGGCCAGCAACCGCTGTCCCTTTCAGACCTTGGTATTCAGCGTCATGACCTACGCGTCGTCCCAAATCGGGATTTCCACGTAGGCTAGCTTTCGATCGTCTACTAGTTGTTCTGCACTATGCTCAAATTGCTGCGGCGGGCACTGCCAGGGACTTGCTACTCATAAACTTGCCTGTTCTGAATCATGCCCAGCCCAGCGCTTGCCATGAAGGTAATCAAACCATGCAGTCGGCATCGGCGGCCTTGTGAGACCTCGCGCGCCTTCATGTTGAAATCTGCCTACAAGAAGGCGAGGCGTGGGGAGAATATCAGCTGGCTGTGGGAAGACACACAAACAAACAAACACGTCCAGAGCTACAGGGATTGGCGTCTATGTTTGGCCAAGGGATATCGGTGGATCCAGTACAATACTCGAATCTGAAAAAGCCCCCAATTGCTGCTGCCGACTTGCAGAAACTATAAAACAACCAAAGAAGCAAAAACAACTATCATGCCTGTCTCCGCTCAGCTGCTCAATCGAATCGTGTCCCCCCACAGAAGTGTCAGTCTCCTGTCAGTGAGTTGCTTGCAGCGCAAGTTATGAGACTTGGTATGTGTGGCCTTATTCCCTCCAGTCAGCCGTTTCCTGCAGCTTGCAAATCCCCCCCACGCCTGCCTCGGAGAACACAGAAGCCGAAGACGAAGCATCCGTCTCCTGTCAGTGAGTTGCTTGCAGGGCAAGCCATGAGACTTGGCATGCATGGCCTGATTCCCTCCACTCAGCCGAGCCCCCGCCGCATTGGAGAATACAGAAGTCGACGACGAATATTGAATCCTCGCATTTGCTGGCAAAAAATCCGGCAAGGCCAGCTGCCCGCTGCAAAAACAAACTGCGCGCATGCTTGCAACTCCGGCCTTTTTTCGAACATTCCAGTGGGTTCTCAAATCAAGTTCTCCGTCGGAGTAGTGTGCGATGGGTTCCCAAATTGGGTCCTCCATCCACATAGTTTCCTATTGCAGAAGCATCACTCCTCTACCAACGAGCGTGTGTGCAACAAGGTGTCACCATCCACAAGTTCCCCAATCTGCAATGGCACATACAGCCGCGCCCACTTGTCTGCAGGATCAGTGACATTCAGCTAAAACAGCCACTGCATCTCCAACAACTTCTTTCAACCCGCAGGGGTGAAGCTCACCCGTGCCAGCACGGGCGCTAACCCAAGCATGACACACTGCAGATCAAAATTCGAGACAATGTCACACACACACACATATATATATATACATATCTAGCTATGTAGCTATGCATATATCTATACACTCCTTGCATCGTCGCTAAACCAATAGTAACGTTCACGAGCTAGCGTGGTTGCCGGCAGCAGGTCGAAAGCAGCGACTGATCGGCGCGCGGTCGGGGTCGCGAACCTCAGACACAGTTGATCACACTGTTCTTTTGGACATGTATGCGCGCCTGTGAGTCCAGTTGCTATTATGGCATGTCTGCTTGCCAGTCTTGAGCTCAGTAGCGCAAGGAAGCAGAGCCATGTAGTACACGCGGCCTTCTTCGCCGGGAATGATGATCTGCTGGCGCATGATGAAGGCCAACAAGAAATGCACGCCAGCTTGATTTTGCTTTCAGCCAAGCAGCTGCAATGAACAAAAGCTGCCGTGATCGTCATACGGCACGCTCTCGGCCTGCAAGAACTCAGACATACATGCTCAGGTCGCAGCAGTGTCTTCCTGCTACGGGAGCTGCAAGTCCGGGGAGCAATTTAAGACGAGCAGAACGACCGCTCCAAATGCATTTGCGAAGGTTCTCAGTTCGTCAGGCATGACAGCTCCATCATGCAACTGCTTATAATCTGTCAACAAGTGCGAGCGGTCTTTTTCAGCGAGTATTTAGGGGACAGCGCCAATGCCTTCCCACATCGGGTCGCGCGTGGCTGCTGTCCCTCGATAGTATTCACGCCGCGGCCAGAGAGTTCAAAAACAACAGCTGAGGTAAGACCACTGCAGCTGCTTGCGTAACTTCTGCGCAAAGCTGCTGCAGTTCAAATGTATACTCAATAAACATGTCAGTGAACACAAACACGCCGCTTTTGACAGTGTGCGCCTCAACAAACCCTATGACTTTCTGCGCCAAGTCAACAGGATCGCGCGCATGGCACCTACAGTCGCTCAAACCATCGAGGTTGTGGGAGTTAGTGCTGCCAAACTTGACCACATAGTTCTTCGCAAACTTTTCGCAGTTCCTGGCAGCGCCTGGGTCGGATCCTTCCGGCGCACGTCCGAACTTTCTCTGATACAAATTGAGCAATCGCTCACGCAACAGGGCCATGATCCAGAAAGCGGCATGAAAATCCAGCCGTGGCAAAGCCGGCGCTTGGCGAAACTGCTGCTGGTGTCTGTAAGGCTGGCTTTTGGCCCTGGGCTCGTAAGGAAACAAGTTGCCGGCTTCATCTCTGTGCATTCTGGACAACGTCAACTCTGTGACCTGCGCAAGAGGCAGTTTGACATCCGGGAAAGCGCGCAAAACATATCGCTGCCAAGTTCCAACAGCCAGCGTAAAAGCTTCTTCCGCTAATCCATCGGCCATGCCATTTGCATGCAGGGTCAGGGCAAAGATGTAGAGATGCGGTCAGAAGCCACTGCCTCAAACATGCGTCCCAGCGGCGCTGCTTCGTAATTTGGGCCAGCCACCCTGAAAGCTCACATCCAAGGAGTAACCGCCGTGCTTGCAGTCTGCATATTTCTCTGCCTTCAGAGCTTCAAAAACAGCAGTGTCGTTGTCTCCAAGATCTTCGAGCCGTGCGTACCACTTGCAGTCCTCACTGAGCAAGGTTCGTCCAAGAGGTAACGAACGTGCCGCACATAAATCCCAGCGAACATTCCAGTAACTTCTTCGGCAAGCTGTCCTCACTTCACAACTTCGGTTTGACACCAACAACTCAAAACAAGGAATACAACAAAACAAAGAACACAACTCACAATGTCCTCGGTTTCACCTTCATCGCACCACTCTGGTTTTGCGCGCGGGTGCTCGTCTTTGCCGACCTGATCGGAGGTTAGGTCTTCATATGTCTCCTGCACCAGAATCCAGGTTCTTACATGAGTCTGGTCTTGCATATTTGGTTAGTCCTAGGGTCCTGATCTTTGTGAACTTCCTCGCGTACGACAACGATAACAACAAAAACAACAACCACAAAAGAGGTACTAACTGAACAGCAAAAAGACTCATATGTGTTTCTGATATGTCGAGGCTGCTCAAACTCCGGGCACCCAGGTCAATGATTCAGGGCCTCAAAAGCCTCCGATTCTTACTCAAATGTTGGCATGGTTGGCTCGTCTTCCTTTGAGTCGGCACCCTTCTAGGGGAGTTGTTCAGGGAAACCGAAGGGAATTCACCCTGCCATTTTGGAGGATCCCAATTTTAAGACCCCCTGAAGGTTGGCGAATTTCCCGGCTCAAGTCGCTCTTCTCTCCCCACCTCGAAAGGGGTCTTGCAGGGTATCAGGGGTGTGCCAGGCAGGTTGTCCCCCACCCGGCTGCACCTCAGCGAACATAGGAATCATCCGGTCCACGGCGGCTCGGCTTTCCAAACATCGAGTCACATTACCAAACATCCGTCTGACGAAGTTAGAATAAGGGTACTAACTTTGTTCTGTAGTCTATTCATAGTAGGGGAACCCTCCCCCAAAAAAGGGTAAAAGGACTGGGGACCCAGTAGTTTACCTGGAATCTCCGAGGGGTTCGGTTTGTCAGGGTCAAGGAGATAGGTACACGCCGCAAACTGACAGGTAGTGCTCGTTGAACACGCGTCGTCATTGGTTGTCATGTACTACAGGCGACGCTAACGGCGAGGATGAAAAATGATGAAGCCACGGCGCCGCGGGTTTGTTCACTGAGCTGTCGTTGCTACTCTGAAAGGAGAAGGGCGTCATACCTATCCCAGCCATGCTTCGCTCGCAACAGAAACAAAGGTTCTAACTGGGCTGAAGGGTCCAAAACACGAGGAACAGCCCAGAACCCCGCTCCCCCAACCGGGACCCGGCTCAAGCCACTGCTCGATGTCCTTCCTGTCGCCTGAGCTTATGCCTGGGCACGTCGGGAAGAAAATACAAGCTCACCAGGGCCCCACACTATCAAATAGTTTGACTAACTTTCTCTCTCTCTCTCTCTCTCTCTCTCTCTGGCTCTGTCTCTCTGGCTCTCTGCAGTATATGTTTGATGCCACAAGACAGCCATGCGGGACCTGGTACGTGTTCTTTGTGTGTCTGTAGGGCGGACAGGGTCCAACTGCACGCCCAATTTCTCGTGGTTTAGACTGGCGATACATGAAATTGCTTGCATGGATCACCTCACGTTTTCCGATTGAGTGGATTGGCGAAAGTCCATGTTATGCTGATGGTCTTCCCAAAAAGTGACCTCCGTTGAAAACAAAGTGAACAGGGGCAAACCACATGCCCTTTCTTGCTGGTTCCATAGGCAGGGAATGCGAAATGCAATGACCCCAGCTTCACCCAACTGGCGGCTTCCTTAAAGGGAATCGCTAGGTTGATTCCCAACACCCTGAAGGTAACGCTTTTCACCACACCGGAAGCCCCCCAAAAAAGCCGCGCCTGGCATCCCAGTCAACCAACAACATGGGAACTCAGGGAACCTTGTGGGAGGAATTTGTTCAGGGACCAAAGAAAGCCCTATAAATCCCATACAAAAAACATATATGCCAGGAGCACGTTCTGAGTTCTCCGTGTTCCATTCAAAAACAGGAACATGTGGACCCCTTTTCTGGCCGTAGATCAGGGCAGCTGGTGGCTTGCTAACCAACTGCTGCATTCGCCCAATGGCATTTGCATGGCAAATTGATCCGATTCCAGCAAGGCGAATTCAGCTATCACGGAGCCACTGACCTACGATTCGACCAGCAATTCTTCTAGCTTTCACATGGCTTCCCTTGGGTACCCACTCCTCACTTCCTGAGTGGATTGGACAACAAAAAGGAGCAAACAAACTTGTGATTTACCACTAGAATGAGGTCTTCCCACAAAATGCCATGACCCCGGCTTAACCAATCCAACTGGTGGTTTCCTGAAAGGAAATCCCTACGTTCATTCCCAACACCGAGACTCAAAGTAGCAACAACCCCAAGCCCAACAGACCCCAGGCCTCTGTCCTCCCACCTGATGCGCCATCTTTCGTTCGAGCCCAGTGACTCTGCGCGAACACCATCTGGAGTCTCTCCATGACCCTTCAAAAATGGGGGCATTACCCAAAATTAAGGGGGGATGACCCCTTTTTCCAGGGTCATGGAGAGTCTAGGCATACACGGATTAGCAAAGTTCAAAACTTTCACCGTAGTGTTTACCAAATGTCCAGCTTTCTGGACATTTGGAGGCTTGATCCCCCATTTACAAGACCAAGTTGTTTCATGTCGCACCTGGTGGTTCATTTGCCCCAGCGGCTCAACCGTCCCAAGGAGATATGGACCTTTCAAACCGGCACCCACATAGCCCCATGCCCAAAGCAGCGGCGGAAAACACAGAGTTGAGAGCCCCATGCCTTGAGAATCCAAACTATGGGAATCCCATAGGTTCCTATGGGCATCGTGGATTTACCACGAAGATGGTCTTCCCAAAAGGTCAACAAAATCCATAGGAACTCGGGGAGTGAGCCCAAAAAGGCCGGCTTAGGATTCGAATGGCCACTTGCGCCAGCGCGGGCCTGGACTGGCAAAAGCTGCGATCCCAACGCTTCGCCTCAAGACCAACACATGCAACACTAACTCGACTCATGAAACATGCGTTGTGGGTGTGTCCTTAAATTCGGCAACCTCTTCTGGATGGCGCTTGAGAAATCAAAGGGAAACTCAGCAGGTTGGGTTCAACTCGCATTTGGGTGCATGTAATGTTTATCAATAAGAGGAGTGTTCCCCTCCTAAAGGGATGATTCCCCACCAAACAGGGACACCCCCTAATTAATAAACTGGGGTTGATTCATATGGGGTCAACATCAAGCGACATAAAAGGGACACCACTTGACTTTTCGGGGAGTTCTCAAAACTCGACTTGCCCATTTCGTCTTTGAGGCTCATGGCCCTTTCTAAGGTTGGCCGTTTTGAGCGAAACAACATCGCCGACACCCAGCCTTCGGGGGTGTCTTTTTTGAGGGTACCCCCTTTTTTGGTGGGTGTTCAAGGAAAACCAAGAGGAATCAGAAGGCACCCACTGCAATATTTGGATGGGTCAAAATCCCGTACCCGGTGAACATCCCAATCCCCACTAAAATAGACTAACATGCACCTACCCCCAATGGCAGCCATTTTAGGAGTCCCCTTTTGAGCCACACCCATTTTGGGGGGTCCAAATCACATGCCCTTCACGGGTGCCCCACTGAGATCCATCGGATCTCCAGGAAGAGCCGCTGGTCCAGCGGGTCAGCTCCTATCGGTTCGTTTTAAGGTACCTGGAGCCTCAAACTGCGCAAGGGAAATCACCCCAGCGTTTTCTGGCAAGCCATTTTTCTGGGTAGTTTGAGGGTTCAGGTTGTGGTGTATGGTTTGTGGGTGTTGCGATCGGCGAATCGCGGCATAGGACAATGAGCTGAACATCGTGGTTGTGGATAATGGGTTTAGTATGGCAGGATTTAAAAAAGCGGCCCTGGGTTCAATCTCACGCATGCTGTAGCGTGCAATGACCTAGAACTATAGGGTCACCTGTCAGAATCTTGACAACACAGTGTCCAAATTGCAAAACCAGAAACCACGCGACAAGTCCGGCACCTCTCCTGTGGGGCTGGCCAATGCGCTAGCCGGCTGCGCTTGCGCGGCGGGCTCCACTCCTGCCGCATGAAATTCCTCCGACCTTTGACGTGACTGGACCTAGGCCCTGGACACATGAACATGCAGGTGGAGGCATAACATATTCATTCAAGATTTCCTTAAATCTCACAGAAATTGGTAGTTTGCCTTTTGGCTTCCCCTTGGAAGGTCAAGAATGGCGCCCTCAAAAGAGACACGCCTCGCCCAAGCGGCATTGGTCCCTCCCTTCTGAAACGAAGGCGCTCGCTCGCCTTGGCCTTCCATGTCTCGCGCCGCTTTTCAGGCCTCGGACGAGGCGAGCTCCGGTAAAGCGCAGCTCGGCTTGAAGCCTCGTTTCTGGGTACCGAAACCCCAGGCATGCCCATGATTACCCGAATGTTGCACGTTCCAGGATCTGCCCGGACTAGCACAAGTGGGGTTCAAACAACAACGGTTGTTTATGCTCACGCATGACCCTGTGTGACCATGGTTGCTTTCGAGCGCGAACTACCCCAACACTGGCCAAATGGACGCCTGTTGTTTACCGGATGAGGTCACAAGCGGCGGGGCAGATGTTCCGGGCCTGGCAGACGACCCGGCTTTGTTGCTAGTGGTTCATGGAACCGAGAAGAGACACCCACCCTGCACAAAACCGCGGAGGTCCGACATGTTCGGAAGCCCTCAACTACGCCCTCGTGGAGTTTAAGCCTGTGAATTACGTGGCCAGGTGCAGGCAGGGGTCTGGAAGACGAAAAAATAACACAAATCAAATCCCATTGGTCAACATATGCACATGTCTGCACAGAGTAGCATGTGTATGTGTATATATATATATATACATTATGTGTCTGACTGTTTGTTTACGTACTTCTTAAGTGGATGGCCCAAAACAGTCAAACTGTTGTTTGCCACTAAAATGGGCCTCCAACAAAGTATGAATTCCATGAAGTCAAACAAACATATGTAGTGTTGAAATATCACTCGCACATAATGAGGAAGTGTGCCTTTCAAAATGGGCGGTTGTGTCCCTCAGAAAGAGTCTTGAAGTTAAAGACGACTCAAAACACATCTGGGGGATATCTTCTGAGGGGAGCGGGCACAAGCGGTTAAGTCGATTCTCCAAACAATATCATATGAATACACTTTCACGTGAATGTCGAACATATTGCCAAAAAATATCCAACCAACAATTGTTCTATGAATACACTTTAACGTGAGTAAGGCCAAATGCCCAGAGACGCCCCTGTTGACTTCCAGACGACCCTGTTGGCTTTGAGGCTAAACCTGCAGCACATGCGAGTGGAAAATGTTCCTAGGTCCTTGGTCCCTGCGAAAGCGGGGTGTAGGACATCACGTGCTCTGCTGCTTTCAGGCATAGCAGGCGGAAATCCAGCTGGGTGATCACGTCTATTATATATATATATATTATGTAGATGTTAACATATATATATGTATACATACTTTGTAGAATGTGTACAAACATATACATATATGTACTGTACGTAGGCATTCACACACACACACACATGCGAGGTTCTTGGGGAGTGCGAGCATCTGCATGCGGCTCAGAGGCCAGGCTTCTAGGACATCCTCGGGCAACATACCATTGTCGTGCTCGAGCGGCCAAGCGCTGTTCCCAGTTGCATCATCTCCTTGCGGCATCTGACCATGAACTCCATCCCCAAAACTGGCGCGAATGCTGTGTGACCTTCAGCCGTATGAAGTGCCATCTGGAGGATGAGCATTCCAACTGGAAGTTGACTGAACGTTAAGCAGATCAGGAAAAGGAAAACAATCCACTGGTTGCTTTCTTTGGGGAAATGAATGTGCCCAAACAAAGCATAATGTTTCTTCCGGATGCCAACTCACAGTCGTCGATCGAGCCATACTGTTTTGCCCAGGTTCTGATGTGTCCCGGCCGCCCCCATGATACCTCAACTTCGCTTCAGTGGATGCACAAGAACACCTTAGAAAGCAATGAATCCAACGAGTAAACAGGGCCCCCCAAGAAAAGCAATCAAAGCTCAACATGGTCGTTGGAGGTCATCATGATCGTACCTGTCTCCCTTTCTCTCCTTGCGAGGCATCGCCAGCATCGCAAGCATAAGCATGCGGCTGCGGCCAGCCTTCCGCTTGGACATCCTCGGGCCTCAGACCATCGTCGTGCTCGAGCGGCCAAGCGGCGTTCCCAGTCGCATCATCTCCTTGCGGCATCTGAGACATTAAATCCGTCACCAAAACTGGCGCGAATGCTGTCTGCCCTTCAGCCATATGAAGAGCTATCTGGAGGTTGAGCATGCCAACTGGAGGCTGAGTGAGCGTGAAACGGACCAGGAATCGGAAAACAAGCCACTGCTTGTGTCCTTTCAGAAATTGAGCATGCGACATACCCAGTAACAGATGCCTCAGATGCCCAAACAAAACAGAACGGTGCTTCTCTTTTGGGCTGACAGTCGTGCTTCAAGCGATGTTGCGTTGACCAGGTTCTCATGTTGCCCCCCCTACCACAAAGATACCAGTGGATTCCCATGGATAAGCAAGAAAACCGCAGGAAGCAAGGAATCCAACGAGTAAACAGGGCTCCCCAGAAAAGCAATAAAAGCTCAACATGGTCCCTCGAGGTCATCATGATCGTACTTGTCTCCCTTTCTCTCCTTGCGAGGCATCGCCAGCATCGCAAGCATAAGCATGCGGCTGCGGCCAGCCGACATCCTCGGGCCTCAGACCATCGTCGTGCTCGAGCGGCCAAGCGGCGTTCTCAGCCGCATCATCTCCTTGCGGCATCTGAGACATGAAATCCATCCCCAAAACTGGCGCGAATGCTGTCTGCCCTTCAGCCGTATGAACAGCCATGTGGAGGTTGAGCACGCCAACTGGAAGCTGAGTGAGCGTGAAACGGATCAGGAATCACAAAACAAGCCACTGCTCATGTCCGTTGGGGAAACTGTGCAAGCGATGTACCCAGAACACAGGTGCTCAAACAAAACAGAACCGGTGAGTCCCTTTTTGGCTGACAGTCTTACTTCTAGCCATGTTGTGTTGACCAGGTTCTCATGTTCCCCCCCCACCGCAAAGATACCAGTAGATTCCCGTAAATAAGCAAGAACACCGCAGGAAGCAAGGAATCCAACGAGTAAACAGGGCCCCCCAAGAAAAGCAATCAAAGCTCAACATGGTCGTTGGAGGTCATCATGATCGTACCTGTCTCCCTTTCTCTCCTTGCGAGGCATCGCCAGCATCGCAAGCATAAGCATGCGGCTGCGGCCAGCCTTCCGCTTGGACATCCTCGGGCCTCAGACCATCGTCGTGCTCGAGCGGCCACGCGCCGTTCCCAGTCGCATCATCTCCTTGCGGCATCTGAGACATCAAATCCATCCCCAAAACTGGCGCGAATGCTGTGTGCCCTTCAGCCGTATGAACAGCCATCTGGAGGTTGAGCATTCCAACTGGCGGCTGAGTGAGCGTGACACGGATCAGGAATCGCAAAACAAGCCACTGCTCGTGTCCGTTGGGGAAGCTGTGCATTCGATGTACCCAGAACACAGGTGCCCAAACAAAACAGAACCGGTGAGTCCCTTTTTGGCTGACAGTCGTGCTTCCAAAGCCATGTTGTGTTGACCAGGTTCTCGTGTTGCCCCCCCTCCCTACCGCAAAGATACCTGTGGATTCCCGTGGATAAACAAGAAAACCTCAGGAAGCAATGAATCCAACGAGTAAACAGGGCCCCCCAGAACAGCGATCAAAGCTCAACATGGTCCCTGGAGGTCATCATGACCGCACCTGTCTCCCTTTCTCTCCTTGCGAGGCATCGCCAGCATCGCAAGCATAAGCATGCGGCTGCGGCCAGGCTTCCGCTTGGACATCCTCGGGCCTCAGACCATCGTCGTGCTCGAGCGGCCAAGCGCCGTTCCCAGTCACATCATCTCCTTGCGGCATGTGAGACATGAAATCTATCACCAAAAGCGATGTGAAGGCTGTCTGCCCTTCAGCGGTATGAAGAGCTATCTGGAGGTTGAGCATGCCAACTGGAGGCTGAGTGAGATCAAGAATCGGAAAACAATCCACTGGTTGTTGCCTTTGCGGAAATGAAGCCTGCGATTTACCCGGTACACCAATGCCCAAACAAAACAGAACAGTGCTTCTCTTTTGGCTGACAGTCGTGCTTCAAGCAACCAGGTTCTTATATCCTCCCCCTACCCCGAAGATGCCCGTGGATTCCCGTGGATAAAAAAGAAAACCTCAAGAAGCAAGCAACGAGTAAACAGGGCCCCCCAGAACAGCGATCAAAGCTCAACATGGTTCCTGGAGGTCATCATGACCGCACCTGTCTCCCTTTCTCTCCTTGCGAGGCATCGCCAGCATCGCAAGCATAGGCATGCGGCTGCGGCCAGCCTTCCGCTTGGACATCCTCGGGCCTCAGACCATCGTCGTGCTCGAGCGGCCAAGCGCCGTTCCCAGTCGCATCATCTCCTTGCGGCATGTGAGACATGAAATCGATGTGAAGGCTGTCTGCCCTTCAGCCGTATGAAGAGCTATCTGGAGGTTGAGCATGCCAACTGGAGGCTGAGTGAGATCAAGAATCGGAAAACAATCCTCTGGTTGTTGCCTTTGCGGAAATGGAGCATGCGATTTACCCGGTACACCAGTGCCCAAACAAAACAGAACAGTGCTTCTCTTTTTGGCTGACAGTCGTGCTTCAAGCAATGTTGTGTTGACCAGGTTCTCATGTCCCCCCCCTCTACCCCGAAGATACTCGTGGATTCATGTGGATAAACAAGCAAACCCAGGAAGCAATGAATCCAACGAGTAAACAGGGCCCCCCAGAACAGCGATCAAAGCTCAACATGGTCCCTGGAGGTCATCATGACCGCACCTGTCTCCCTTTCTCTCCTTGCGAGGCATCGCCAGCATCGCAAGCATAAGCATGCGGCTGCGGCCAGGCTTCCGCTTGGACATCCTCGGGCCTCAGACCATCGTCGTGCTCGAGCGGCCAAGCGCCGTTCCCAGTCACATCATCTCCTTGCGGCATGTGAGACATGAAATCCATCCCCGAAACTGGCGCGAATGCTGTCTGCCCTTCAGCCGTATGAACAGCCATCTGGGGTTTTGATTGTGACGCACGTGGCTCTTGACAAATGCGGCCGTTGTACCTTGTTGCTGAGTACGGCATCACAACCTCTCCAGGGTCAGGGCGAACCACCCCTGCGTAATGTTGACCTTAGATCGCTTTTCTGGGGGGCCCTGTTCGCTCGTTGGATTCCTGGCTTCCTGAGGTTTTCTTGTCTATCCACAGGAATGCACAGGCATCCGGGGGCAACATGAGAACCTGAGCAAAGCAGCATGGCACTGTCAGCCAAAAAGAGCAGCACCGTTCTGTTTTATTTGGGCACCTGTGTGTACTGGGTACATCGCATGCAAAAAAAAACATGCCAAGGTTCCAAAGGCACCCAAAGGTACGCCCTGTCAGCCCTGTCCAAGCAACTGCGGGCCATGGTCTACTGACGTAGATGTTTGTCTCCCAAAGTTCCGGGTGTTTTGGACCCTTCGCATCTTTCTCCCTTCCCTGGATCGCCAGTTGCAGCTTTTTTTCCCATCCACTTTACCCCAAAAACAGCAACAGTGACTGAAAAAAACCGCCACTTGGCCATCCAGGTCCCTTTCTCTCCTTGCGAGGCATTGGTATCGCCCACGGCGTCCTCAAACCAGGCTTCCTCCGCCCAGACCTGCGGAGAAACGGGGCCTGAACCGGCCGAAAACAAAACACGGCGGTGTTGTCTTTTTGATGCTACCAGCTAGGCTTGCGGTTTGAACAAACAAATCAAGACACCTCAGTGGTGTGGCCGCAGAAAAATGTCATAATATTGTATACCCCGTTTTGGGAAATAAAAGGGAAACCGAGCATTTTGGAGCTTGCCCCATTGCGGCCTGAAATGCACGGAGCCCTACAACTATCCTAAAGCGGGCCATACCTAACCGAGGTTCCCGAAAGCGCGACCAGGGCCGTGCCGCGGCTGTTTTTTGGACTGGGGCTAAAGTATAAGGCTGGGCAGGGGTCGGTTGTGAGGATGCAACCCTTGCCGGACTACAACCATTGGACAAAAAGACTGCTTGATGACTGTCGTAATTAGGTCTCATACGGTCCTTCTCTGCCCAATCGGGACCGATCATACCAACCTAAGCTGTGACAAGCACAGCATCCAACTTGCGGCAATCAAAGAATGTGTCCACCACACCGAAGGACAAATGCGGGTGGCTTGGGGATGGTACTTCTCTGCGGCTGTGGTGTTTTGCGGACAGCAAGTCTTACGTGGGCTTGATCCCCCAAACACAGGAGCCGCCATCGCCTCCTCCCCATCGGCCATCGGCCCACGGCCGGGCTAGATTGACTGGCGAACGCGAAACGCGAATGCATGATCGCCTTTTGGCATCGGTCACATGGCTTTAGATTCATGGCTTGCACTACACGTAGGTGACCGGTTTTGTTTGGACCCCCCGCCCAAAATGGTGGATTTCCTTTTGGGTTGCCCCTTGGCCCAACCTCAAAAGTCACACCAACACAGGGCAAAGGGCATGTGGACATGCAACCGAATCGAGGGCATCTTCCAAGGGACAACCTCGAGATGGCTCCCCGAGTTGCATATGCTCCCGCAGATGGGTGAGGCTTCTTGCTGAGGCGCGGTATTTATAGTGTGTTCTGCTCAAATGACAAGGACCCAAAGGCCGTGCATAAAGTTTCTTGTGGGGCCCGTGCGGTTCTATCTGAGAGCCTGGAAATGCACAACAACTGCAGTGGGATGTGTCTGGACCGGCGCTGGGATGGCCCAAGTGGCTATGGCTTGCAATGCCCTCTGCGGAATCACCCATGAATCACCCTATTCTAGCCTGCTTCCAGCTAAAACCCGGTGTTCTTTGTTTATGTGGGAAAATTTGGGGAAACTTGCTCAGAGTGAAATTTCAGGGAAGCAGGAAAATCCTTCCCTAGGGCCCTAGGAGCCCAAGACCCCTCGTGCCATGTCCGAAATGGAGCTGAGCCAAGCAAATGGCGCAAGACACACGTTGCCGGACCTTTTGAAACTGCTTGTCAGGTATCAATGTGTGGATTAGTATAGACATATATATATATACATACACATATTATATATATATATATACAGATACACATATACTTATTGACAAGTATATTCACCAACAGCTGAAACTTGTAGGGTCTCCGCCCAGATAGGCTCTGGGGTGGCCCGGGGCGTCCTGCCTTTGCTCAACCCCAAGAAGCATTGGGGTGACGAGCGGGGGCAGGTCAATGATTCGAGCAACGGGTATGGTCCATCTGATTAAGTAAACCCAGGAGAAACGGTTGATGCCTAGCCTCACCGACAGATCAACAAGCCCACAAACCATGGAACCCTGGTTCCAAGTCACTCTTCTGAGTCCAAATACATTGTGTGTTTGCCACCTCTCCTGAACTTTAGCTCGGAACAAACCTCATTTTCACAGGACACCATTCTGGAGACCGCTTTGTTGGGTACCCTGTTGAGGGGAGTAGGTTAGATCACAGGCCCGGCTTTGCCAACCGCCAGTCGGTTGGGGTTGCCATGGCAAATACTGGCAGCTTAAGGAACTTGGGTTGTTTTTCTTAGGGTACCCCGGTACCCCAAAAGTGGGGTTGTTCGAAACGGATGTCCAATATGTTGACACCAACCCCCAAACTGTTTCAGGGACCCCCGCACTTCAGTCGGAGTCAAGTGGCCCGAAAGTCTCTTCCACTCCGGCGCTTCTTTGAGCGCGCGGGAAAAAAGCTAAACTCAGCTCACTGCGCAAAACCTGGCGTGCCGCACCGCTACGAAATGACGGTAGATCATGTTGTCGCTGCAGTTTCTTCGCCTTTGTTTGTGTTCCTCCCCCTCTCCCCCCTCTCTCTCTCTCTCTCTCTCTCTCTCTCTCTCTCTCTCTCTCTCTCTCTTTCTCTCTCTCTCTCTCTCGCTCTCTCCCTCTTTCTCTCCCACACAAAATCAATTTCATGTCTGCACCTCTTGCGAGTCCGGCAATTTACATATCGTTACAACTGTGTCAGGCTGCCGAAACTCATTGCCATGACGGTTGCCTCATTGATGGCTTCTTCTGAGCTGGCATCCCAATGCAGCTTCCCCGGGCCCCGGCAAACCAGGGCTCCGAGGCAGGAGGAAAGAATTGAGCAAATCTGTTTTTGACGCCGATCTTCAAAACGTCCCCAGTCGAATCATAGACTTCAAGTGCCAGCTCGCCTTTTCAGTTGAGGGGGGGGGACAAGCTGAATTCCTATTGAAACCTCTCAACCGCCAGACTTGCTGGGAGCAACCCTCAGGTCACTCAGTTTCAGGTCCAACTGCCAACACCACATTGCGCAGTGGAAAGCCCCAGCGATTTCAGCCTAGCCAGAGCAACAGTCGGAGTCTAAATTGGAACTCGAAGCAAACAAAAACAAATGTACCTGGATCGCCAGTTGCTGCTTTTTTCCATCTACTTTGCCCCAAAAACCAGCAACAGTGAGTAACAAAAAGCAACGCAACTTGGTTATTCAGGGAGCCATTGAGGCGCAAGGGGCTTCATCTGATCATCTGATGGCCATGTCTTTCTGTAGCTCTCATTTGACAGGGCTCCCTATCTACATTTCCCCTGGAACAACATCACCACCAAGGGACACTTCCCGTTCATGAACCAAACGGTGATGTTTAAAGCCACCAAAGAGGGAACTCTAGGGACCCCTGTTTGATGACACCAGCTGAATCATGGGCGGAAATCCTCGCCTATCGCCACTTGCTGCAGTACCTCCGGGTCGCACGCCATGGCCGAAGACTCCAGGGGCCCCACCAATCAGATTTGTCGTAGAAAAGCGAGGCTACCATCCCTAATATGAAGGGTTGACCCTGGCTTTGTGACCCACAGAAAATTGGCCAGAATGAGCTACATAGCCGGTGCATGTGCTTTGCTGTGACAAGCGTGTTCTCTCCCATACAAACAATTGTTCCCCTGTCTATCCCATGCGCAAGAACGAAGATGCAATTGAACCACCGCAAATTTCGCTTGTGTGCGACTTGCACAAAAAAATATAATCCATCAGAGTCCCGGGCACCAGTTTGTTTGATGCCATTTCGGATCGCCGATGCGTCAATTAGTCAGGAACGGTTGAAGAACACGGGCTGGGTTCCTCCATGATTATTGATTGCAAAAACGGGCTTCGAACCAGGGCAGAACGCAGAACACCTTTATGCGGGACATTCGGAATCTTCTGATTTTAACCAAGGTAGCTAGCCCCAAAACTTGATTCTGTGGTGTGTGTGTGTGTGCGTGCCATGTTGCGTGCCCTCATTGAGCAATCTTTACACTGAGAGGGTTGTCAAGAGACAAACACATCACTTGTAACTTGCTTGTACGTGACAGGCTCGCGCATCAGCTGCCTCTTGCATTGCCCATGCACAAGAAGTCCAACAGGGTGCGTGGGTCTGAGAAGTGAGTCCAACCGCCTTGACAAGTATCCAAGAATCGCCAAGTCAACATGAAAGTTGAAAAAGTCTACCACACATTCTGCGTATCTCTTCATTGGACCTCAGTGGTTTTCCATGGGTTCCGGGCCTGATCAAAACAAAACTCCAAAAGGGGCTCCTTCAACCCACCAGTCCCCCCCCACCCCCCTCCCCCAACCTTCAACCCCCCGCCCCCTGCCCCCGAAAAGGTCTCGGCTTTCCATGGACAACGAAACCCCTTGTTCTGCGCCAAAGGCACCCTTGGAGCTCGCCCTGTGCAGGTCGCTCACCTCAGCCCACCCAAACCGCGAACCCCAAAGGGCAGTGTGGACCTTTGCTTCCTCATGGAAGCTTTGGTCGGTTTACATCTAGAAAGACCTGGATTACAAACCCCTTTTGGCATCCTTTTTAAGAAGTTTAGAATAATGGACAGAGAGGACTACAGGACAGACAGGCCAGACAGGACAGACAGGACAGACCGGACAGACCGGACAGACGGGACAAACGGGACAGATAGGACAGACAGGAGAGACAGAGTAACAGAGTGACAAAGAGACGTGAAAGAGCGACAGAGCGACAGAGAGACAGAGAAACAGACAGACAGGCAGACAGACCGACAGAGAGACAAAAATAAACAAACAAACAAATTAACTAACTAACTCACTAACTAACACAAGAAGGCAGGCAGGCAGGGCAGGGCAGGGCAGGGCAGGGCAGGGCAGGGCAGGGCAGGGCAGGGCAGGGCAGGGCAGGGCAGGCAGGTGAGCCAGCGAGCGGGCAAGCCAGCAGGAAGACAAGGCAAGGCAACAAGGCAAGGCAAAGCAACAAAGGCAAGGCAAGGCGAGGCAAGGCAAGGAACAAAGCAAGGAAAAGTAACATTAAACTAGAAGACCAGGGGCCCGAAAACATTTCGAGCTTGTGCACACACACACACACTTACAACCTACTTACTAAGCGGCTTGAACACCCAAGTACCCTCAAACGAGTCGCACCCACATGCATCCATCGGAGTTTTCAGACCAAGGGTTTTGTACTGCGACATCTTGCGCTGATGCACGAGGTGGTAGGCGGGCATCCCGGTATTCCTGGGGTCAATTTCGACTGGTACGTGGCTTTTTGTTCTATCCAGGTCAACCATGGAATCTTGAAATCTTGCTTACAGCCAGTGAACCTGGAACCCCCCCCCAAAAAAAAAGCCAACTCATTTTCCCACCAAGAGCTTCTAGGTTTTGGGCCAGCTCACAGTTCACCCCTCTGGGGGTCTCCGAGTTTGTCTCCGGGTTTGCTGTTTTTTTTTCCCTGCTCCAAGCTGGCTTAAGATCCGCGCCCAGGTGCTCTGCTTGATCTGCTCCAGGTTTGCAGCCTTCACCTGGCGCCAGAGAGGAAATGGAAGTGGATGCCAGCTCCACTCCACCTGCCTTTTTGGTTGCTGTCTGATGGGGATTTGTTTGTTGACCTGGTCGAAAAGAAATCGTTGGGGTGGACTTGATTTCTTGATCAATGTTTCTGAGTTGGAGGAACCGCAGTTGTTCGGTACCTCAGGAGAGGCAGAAGGCACTGGACAGAAGGGACGCTCCGGACTCCTCAGCCCGAACGTGAGCCAAGCTTGCAAGCACGAAGGAAGCAGCCATGTTCGAAAGGCAGTTATGCCCGACCATCTTTCAGGGTGTTCCCTATTTACAATAAGCCGTGTGCCAAAAAGAACAACGGACGAAACCGAAACCCCGTGTTGGCAATTTCGAGAAGAAAAATGGAGGTTCCAAAAAAAGAGCTATGGACGAACCCCTGCTTTTTCTTTGTTTGCTTTTTTTTTTTGGGGGGGGGGGAGTTCCTAACCACCGCACACCTCCGGACACCTCCATGGACGGGGCTCGAAGCCGACATGCACAGCCTCTCACCTCGGGCTCCCGGCCTGGCGCCCTTCCGGCGGAAAGAGCTGGCTGAAGTCCTTCTGCCCTTCGGCCACATCGCTGCCTCAAGTCGCGAAGGCGAGAGGTGGCTGAGCCAGGAGCCAGACTGGGGTTCATGGATTCACATGAAATGGCACAAGCTGGAATGGAACTTCCAACCTATGGGTCTGAAAAAAGAAGAAAGTGCTCCCAAAAACACTTGTGACTCGAACATTATAGTTTGTAACCTTTTGTTCGTAACCTGCGGCCCAAAAAAAAGTGCCCAAAGTGGCACCTAACGACTAACACCCGCGGTTTGCCCCACCTGTTTAATTTGGAGCCACCAAATGCAAGCCTAAAGGTCCAAGTACCTAAGGAGGTTCTGCAACCCCATTTAAACACCACAATCCCAAGGTACTTGAACCCTTACAGGTGCTCCCTGAGTGGACCTCCCCCCCCGAGTGGTTGAACTTTCTATGTGCTAAGAGTATCTGAAAGTCCCAGAAGTGATCATTTGCCACTGCTTTGGAATCGGCGACACACACGCGCATGCATGAGCAACCAAAGACTTTGCCAGCCGCGACCGAACGACTGAGGGTCTACCCCAAAAAAAGATTCCTTGGTTGAGAAGGGGTCATAGGGAAGTGCACGAAAGATCGCCAGTTGATGAGGGATATGAGGGGTATCCATACCTGGCTATGTTATGTGGGCGAGGAGGCACGCCTCCCGGTAAAACGAATCAACGACTTGTTCAGACGAAGGCTGCAGAGGGAAGGGCAAATCTCTGAGTGATCTTGGGAACTTGTCCTTCAGTGGGCGTCATTCAGGCTCCATGTTTGTTTTTTGGCGTGATCCATGGAAAAAAATCCATCGTGTAACAAGATGCAAGACCCTCCAACAGGCCAGTGACTATTGGCATCTTGTTCTTTGCATTCTTGCATTTCCCTTCGCTGGCAAAATGACTTTCTAGCTGGGGGGCCTGGGAAGCAACCTTTTTTGCGGCTCTAGTAGAAGATCCATCGTGATTGCTCCTCCAATGTTTACAAAAAACAAAATGCCGTGAAGAAAGGGTTTCCTTTTGTTAGGATTTGTCTAGGCTCCGTCTCAACACCTGCTCACTCCCCGCAGAAGCCGCCAAATGCAAAGTATGAGGACCCCTTCGTTTTTGAAGGTTGCCTTCCTTCTTCGGGCTTTTCAGCCAAGTCCGATACGTATCCCTTAATTGTACACACTCTTTGAGTGCCAGCTCGGTTCTACACTTGCGAGCTTGACCGCGGCTCGCCTGCCAGAACTCGTCAAGCTCTTTCATGGACTTCGGGTAGGCCCGTCTACTCCACCTTTGCTTAAGGGGGTAGTGCAACACCCGGTAAGAGCCAGCAGGTTTAGAGTTACCCGCAAATAGAGCCCGCCTGGCAGGAATGAGACTGCCGAAATTGACAGTGACCCCTTTGTACCCTTTCTCCCGTCTTGGTGCGTGGTGAGTGGCCCTGCAAATCACCTCCAAACAAGCTTGGTAATTGCGCCCCAATGGCTAGAGATTGAACTGCCGACAGAACGGGCACCTCTCGTTTTAAAACAACACTGGCTGCCGGCAGCCACGAAACAAACAAACCGTTCACTCTGGGTCAATGACGAGCATAGAAGAGCAAATATGCGTTGGCGCTGCATACGTCCTGGCATTGGCAACGTCCGGATGGTCTGGGAATGAGAACTTTCCAACCCGAAACCCACTCACCCACACGCCCGCTACACCTCACTTCCTGAGAGGATTGGTCAGAAAAAGTCATTGGCCTGTTCCACTGAAATGGCCGCCAAACCCAAAAAGTCACTAAAGTCCGAAACGGAGCTCAGGTACGAAGGAAGCTTCCCAGTCCCCACACCAGGTCCCCCCCCAGAATTGGATGGGCTGATCCCATTTGTGCGAGCTTGAGTGGCACCCCCCCCAAACCAGACGTCCAACAACTCCGAGGTCGGCTTCTCGCAAATCGGGGAACCCCTCCCACTTCAGCCGAACTCTGGGAGTTCCGTGCCTTCCCCAAAGCAATGCAAAGCGCCCGAGGTCTTTTTCTTTTCTCTCGGAGTTCTCGGAAGGGCCCACCGAAGCGCCCAAGGGAGGTCTTCTATGTTGGGGGGAACGTGAAGGTTTCCGCACGCCAAGAAACCCTGTACGAGATACTGTTTCAACTCATTATGATTCTTCCAGTGTGGAATACATCAGCGAAGACAAAACACCCAACCCGCAAAGCATCACCCGCACATCGTGCGTCTAGCTTGCGCTTTCTCGCGAACACCGAGCCTACGCCTGTCGAGCCATGGAAAGTCTCAAGGCTCCAAAGGAGGGCACCCCGAAAGTGCATGGTACTGCTGGCCTCACTAAACCATCCAACCAAAAAAGAACCCTATAAAGAAGCAAGCCCAAATGACTTGGAATATGGGCATGGGTCAAAATTAAACCTGGGGACCGCAGATTTCAGTCCATGTTTCCATTTACCAGGGTTCCATTTTGGGTACAAGATTGGCTTCATGCCTCAATGCAGTTCTGGCCTCGGTGGCCACTCCAGCAGTGGCTTCGAGGCTTTATAGCTCAACACCCCGCAGCTGGTGAGCTCAAAACTTCGTCTACCGGCAACGACTTTCGTCTTGCGCTCCTGGTCCGAGATGGTGTAAACACGATCATCGTTGAAGCAATACCTCCGCTTCGCATGTTTTGCTCGCCGGGTTCCCGCCGGGCTGCCTGGCATGGAAATTCCCAACAGGCATACAAGCCGAGCCAAGGGTTTACAAATCACAGCGATTTGGCCATGGGTAAAAACCCCGTACCCCCAGTGAACATCCTAATCCCAACTAAAATAGACTAAAATGGGTGGTGCACCAAAAAATTGGCACCATTGGTTTTGAACCATGGCCATTTGGGCAAATCTCATCGGGACCCCAGAAATGATGGATCTCCTTGACCCGTCCCCCGACTTCACGAAAATCCCTCCGAATAAGCTAGGGGTACTGACTTGTAAGGGAGCCTCTGGGCCAGAACTCCTGCTTGGCTAGGGGCTCACTCTTTCGGAAATATTGTCTTTGTTTGCAGGGGACTTAAGCAAATGGAAGTATCTATCACTGGCTTTAGTTTGAACAAGAATCCATTGCTTTGTTTTTCCTGTATTGCTCCTCCATTGCTTGGTTTTGCCCGGCTTGGTATTAAAAGGAAGAGAGGGGGCAAATCATGATAGTAGGCATAGAGTTCCTTTCAAACCAACAGGGGGAAATAAAACATATTCTTAATAAAATGAAAGAGTCAATTCTTCTTGAGCAAATACAAGCCGTAGATAAGCCCAAGTGTGTGCCGATTGGCCGGGCGCTGAGGTTCTTCCCCTTGCTGACTGACAGTCGAGCCACAATCCAAATTGAGAGGTCATCAGGATTGCTCTGGAGTGGCGATTGGGAGGCAACAAGAAAGACATGGAAAAGTTAACCTGGCTGCTAACAAATGGGTCTACGCACAGTCCAAAAGGTGAACCCCGCATTGCTTTCTTTTTGTTGGAGCCTCTCATGGTTTTGCTCTGAGCTCAAGGCCACTGCTTGTCGTGCAAGATGCAAGCCGTGTAGTGGCCAGAGCCTGACCACATTGGGACCGCGGTCCCAGTACCCTCCCACCCTTTTGTACATGGAACCTGACGTTCGGGAGCCGTTCGTTCCCTTTCAAAGGAAAATTGTCCAAGCCAGGACCCAGGACCCCCCCGAACGTCAGGTTCCACGTGAATTGGTGGATGAGTTGGACAAACTGTGTTGAACACTATCCAAAATTTTGAGCAGTGCGGACTTACCGCTCCTTTCTTTCTATCCCAAATGAAGGCATCGGCAAAGCAGGTTCCAAATATTTCAAACACTTCTGGGATGCCACTGCACTGGCCGGCCTCGCAGCAAAAATGATTCCTTCACCTGCTGGGATGGACAAAATCCTGCACCACCCAAGAAACCCTGCCCCTGTAAATACCAACAAATAATGGTTTCAACCATGGTTTCAAAGTGGCGCGAAATGGATTTCGTCCATCCACAGTATCATTGCCTCCGCTAGTGTTGACGGCCTTGGCATGTGATGGCGGCTAGAATCCCACGCTGTCACATGTCTGCAGACCAAGTCTTTTCAAGGAGGGTCGACGACCAGCTTTTTCGCCGAACTGAACATGGGCTGGAGACTAGTGGGTGCACTGCTTTTCGCAGCGCTTCCCTTGCTGTGGGCCTGGTGAAGGATCATCTTCGCTTCCCCCCCCGTGAAAAGAAAGAAAAGAAGAGTGGGTTTAAGGTTGGTTTAGGGGACAAACCTGCCTGGCTTCTGGGTCTTGATCGACAATCTGGAAGCTTATGTGCATATTCAACTCAAAGCCAAGTCCTCCCACGGTGGGTGTGGGTCTTTTGGGGGTTGGGTCGTCCCCAAAAAAAAGGAGGATCCTCGTTTTGGTCCCCTTCTGAAGGCTCATGTTTGGGCGACCTGGTGCTCGGGTTCCGTTCGTTGGCCCCCATCTTGCTCTCGGAAGAAAAAAAAAAAAAAGCTCAGCTCCTGGCCCATGCCCCCGATGTGGTTCACCACCTGACTGGCGGAAAAAAATGTGAAGAGGCCATCCCAAAAATCAAAAAACAAACAGTGAAGCAACATGGTGAGAGAGACAAAAACCCCCAAAAAAAACAATTGTCTGGTTCTAGCAACATGATTCCTTCACCGTTTTACCCTTCCACGACCCAGCCCGCCAAACCTAGGGGCAGAAAAAAAAGCTCGGGGCCCCAGTTTATGGCAGGTGCCGCACATATTCTTTCTCCCAGAGGCTCCTGGCACTTTCTTAATGGAAGATCCGACCCCGCCATTAGACAGGTGGTTGGTCTCAAAACCTGGCTGCTTCAGGGCCCTCAATTCATAGAATTGGAGCCTCTGGGTAAGAAACACGACAAAAAGTAGAACTGCCTACTTACCCACGAGGGGGGTCTGGTCGCAGAGTCTGGGCCCGAACTGTCGCTGGTTTCCCAACCGATGTCCCAGCCGACGGATGGGCTGAGTGCTGACTGCAACAACAAAATCGGGCTCTCCCCAAAACAAACACATGTTACTGCTCCTCAAGTTGTTGCTGCCCGAACAAAAAAAAAAAGGAAAAATAAAAAACGGTGTTTGCAATACTCTAGATTTGTGGTGAGGCCAGCAACCAACAAGTAGTGGCGCACGCCTAGACAACCCAACGATGGGCCGCTCATTTGTGCAGTTTGCCTGCTAGGTCAAGCCGTTTGGCAGCTGAGTTATGCTGCTGCGAATTAAATGTTCAACACAAAAGTAATCAGGGTGCATGGCATGCGTTGCTTTGCCCTCAAAACAACAACCTTGTTCTTTTCTATTGAGCCTTCTGCCCATATAAACTGTGCAAAGGGCCACGTCTTTGTCAAAGCAGTATTGGGCTCCAAGATGTGTGTGACCGTGTTCACTGCTATTGCGACGCTGGGTTCTTGAGATCGTTTTTGGCCTCTGGATTGTCCACGCCTTCTTGGACCCCTGGGGTGCAAAGAAAGGGAGGTTTCTCGGATCTGCTATGCTCTAAGATCCAAAGTGTCAAGCTTGAAGGAAACAAATATACGAAAAAAAAGAAACAAGAAAAACAAACAACAACAGAAGCCGAGTCTCCGCCCGCGCAAATAACTACCAACACCCTATGCCGCATGGACAAGCATCAACAAAATGTGCGGATCATGGGTAAAACATAAGGAGGCTTCAAGGTATCGAGGTATGAGCCGAATGTGGGCACGGCTCCTTGATCCGCACCCACCTTGTTGAACAACAGGCACATGGCCCCAACATGAAGGCCAGCGAGTGCAAGCTTAGGCTTCATTCCGCCACATATCAGACAGGCATGGTTGCTTGAGTCGTCCCGAGTCCTTGTGGCTAAAAACTGCAAGGACTCCTCTCCCACTTTGGCATATGTTTTTTCAAGTTCGAGGCAACTCACTTCCCAAGTTGACTGGCCAAAAAAAGATTGAACTTTTTATTTACCACTAAAATGGTCTTTCCAAAAAGTTTAAAGTCCACCAACTCAGGAAGTGAGAGGATAAAAGGCAAACCAGAACCCTGCTCACAGGTCGGGGTGATTCAAGCGGTTTCGCAGCTGGCCTGTCGAAAGGTTTTGGACGGCTGAAAGAAATTCATAGCAACACTTGGCCACTCGGCCGTGGTGGTGGATTTGTCAGTCTGTTTTTTTTTCCTCCCCCCCCCCCCCTTTTCCGGGTGTGTGTCAAATTGAATCCAAATTTGGGTAGGAGCCCTTTGTGCTTGTTGCAATGAATCCATTGTTTCAGCCAAATTTGCTTCCCAAGCGGACCCCTCACTCAACATGGGCGTCTTTTTTGAGGACCCCCACAAAATATTCATGTTTGTTTCTGTTGGTTCTCCCTTGCCACCAAACATGGGGTACCCCGAACAAAGATGACACCACACCCTTCCTTTTTCTAGCGGTGGATTCCCCATTCTGTTCAACCATCGCTCTTTTCGAAAAGCAGCTGTGTTCCCTGAACTTCTGACGGTTTCCTAAAAATCAGGATCCCTGGACAGACTGGGGGAGCTTCCCCTAGACTTTTGGTTTTCCTTTTACCCAACCCAACCCAAATCCCAAAATCACCCGACAGCCCGCGGAATCAGCAGAACCCGCGCCCCGTAGAGCTGGTACTTGGTCACCTCCCTGGACAGCCCCGGAAAGCCGGCCTCGGAGAGATTTCCAGCCTGATTCCTAGGCACCACAGGCTGGGCCCTGGCTTTTCTCTCTTTTTTTCTCTGGAATCCTCATTTGTTGCCACTTTTGTGGGTTGCGCACCCATAGCTGGGCCCTGTTTTGGACTTTGTTTTTGCTGGACTCCTTATCCTTGTGACTTTTGTGGGTGACACCTCCAAATGTCAGAACTGCAAAGGAGTACCCCTTGCCTTCATTTATCCTGGTCGGATATTTGTGCAATTAAGCCTGGGTATCCCCAGCAGCAACCCTTCCAGAACTTCTGGTGCGCAGCCGCTCCGAACTGCGAACAAACCCACACAGCAGCTACCCAAGAACCCGAGGGATAGTAAAAAACAACCGGCCGCATGGCACGAGGCTTGGGTCACATCCCCGAAGGTACAAAGGCATTCTAGTAGTCCTCGAGTTTTCATTGTGACAAAATTGAGTGCCTGAAACCTATTGATGCTGGTTCTACCAACAAACTTGTTCAGGTGTATACAAGCCTCCGTTTGCTGAAACGAATATGTTTTACTTCCCCCTGTCAATTTGAAAAGGACTCGATTGGACATATGTCTACCCATCTTTTCCGGGCGAAGCACATGGAAGCTCGAGCCGGCGAAGCGCCACTCTAGGGACTGCGCCCATCTTCTCATCTCGTCAGACCAGGACCGCTCGCGCAGCGGCCGGTGCCAGTCTCAGGAACCGAAAAAGCGCATGGAACAGGGCCCTCTAGGAAGGGAAGCTCATCCTATGGGCAAAAGAGGCGAGCTTCAACACCACCCAAAAAAACGGGGAAATATCGGGACCCCTGTAGAATCACCTTACCCCCTATGTCCCGAAGCGGTAAACAAATGGTGGTATGGATGTTGGGTACCAACATCTCCTTTGGCTTCAAAAGGAGCTGGGTGCAAAGCACCAATCCAAACCACAAACTCCGGGGTAGCTGAGAGACATATGATTCCATTGACCATGGCATCGAAATCATCCAAGCCTCAAATCATTCGAATTGCAAGACGTCCGGAACCTTCGCACCGCACACTTTGTGTCGCTACTTTGCGGCAATGGAAAAAAATGTAGCCTGCCAACAAACATTGAACCTGCACAGGGACTGGTTTCAGGGAGACCAGTTTCTTCTCAAGGGCACCGATTCCTGTGCGGGTTCCATGTTTGTTTTTGGGATAATATAGATGCCGTCCGCAAGCCCCTCAACAGGCCCAACTAAGTTGCCCAAAGGACCTGGAAATACAAGATTAACCTTTTGGGATCTTTACTAAAAATGGATCAAAAAGGGACAACCAAAAGGTCAAAGGGTCGGCTTTGGGCAAGTGAGAAAAATGCTGAGCACTGATCAACAAGCAAAGCTGCAATTAGGGCCGGCTTCCTGTTGACTTCGAGACACTTTCCTTTCAGGTGAACTCCTTGAACAGTTCAAACTTCATGAATCAGGAAGGGGTGCCCAGTCTTCGGTGCGTGTCATGACCACCCGCACAAAGTGAACCCTAGCATGGCATGATGAACCCAAAGTAAGTTTGTGTCTTGGCTACTGCGTGTTTGGAGCAAAAAGCTATAACGCGGACAAGCACATGTCTACTTGGTTTCGTCAGACAACCACCCCTGCTTTGACTGCCCATCCGGCTCTTAGGCTGCATCCTTAGCCTGGAAAAACCAAGTCAACAAATCGTTGCCCACAGCAAACCCTCTCTAACTTAACTTTCATTGTGGCTGGCTTCCTCGCAATGTGGCATATGTAAATGGATTTCCGGCCGGTAAGGTGTTCTGCTGCTCGTTTGTTGTTAGCCCCCCGCACGATGAAACATGCAAAATACCTCAACAAACCTCTACGCCTGCGTAGACGCCATCCATTCCGTGCTCCAGCTTCTTTGGGGCTTGGCCGGCCGGTGCCCTTAGGGATTCTGTTCTCGCCCAAGGAAGCATGTGTTTTTTGCTGTCGGGAATACATGTTTGTGAGTAAATGGCACATTCCCTAAACATCTCTGGCCACTGAACTGTGGCTGTTGCAGGGCACTCTTCGATTTGTGGGGTTCGGATTTGGAGACAAACCCTAGCAACCCCAAAGACAAAAACCAGCACCCTTGTGCGCAGGAAATCTCTGCAATGGCAGCGGAACGACAACCATCATCAACCATCTCTGGAGTGGGCACTGAGACGGCTCGGGGTTGAATCTTGACACAACACACACACACACACACCAGGCCCCACCCCACCTACCTACCTACCTACCTAATGTTGACCCCATATGAATCAACCCCAGTTTATTGATGGGGGGGTGTCCTAGTGGGGAATCAGACCACTTTTTGGAGAGCAACACCACCCTATTCATAAACTGGGCCGGTTGAAAACTATGGGATCAACATTACCCACCCCCACGCAACCCACCCACCCACCCACCCACCCACCCACCCACCCACCCACCCACCCACCCACCCACCCACCCACCCACCCACCCACCCACCCACCCACCCACCCACTCACACGCACAAACCAAACCCAAACGTGTCATCGACCGCTTGGTACTTGCGTCTCTCTGATCGAGGCCCGAGCCAACAAAGGTCTCGGTCTTGTGACAGGCCTCCCAGAAAGTCCCGCCGGCAAATTTCTCGGTCGACGGCTGGGGTATTTTTTGATGGCACCACCGAATGAACCCGGCCGGTGGGAATCTATAATTTCTTGGTATTTACGTTGGGGAATCAAATCATTCCAGGGTGTTGATGGGTGCAGCATTTCATCCATCCACAGTACTGTTGATGGTTGCAATTTGTCCATTGCCCACCACCGAACTCAGAAACCTTGGTTTCTGATTCGATTCCCCAACGTAAATACCAAGGAACATTATGGTTTCAACCATGTCCAACGTGGTAAAGGATTTGGTCCATCCGCAGTATCCCAACAGCCCCCGCAACCTTCTGGAACCACATCTAGCTTTCAACCCTCCATGAAATCTGCCTTTTGCAAACCACCCAAAAGGAGCCAATTTCTGGGCAGAGACCCTAGAGCTTTCAGCTGTTGGGGAAGAAAGCGTAACACCGAACAAATCCCCCCCCGCACACATGGAGGTTCTCACCATCACAGTATATCTGGGCTGTCCTCAAATCTCAGATCCCCTGCTAAAAGTGGATACTTGTCGACAACATGTTGAGTGGGTTTCAAGTTATATTCAGCCCATTATTTCCTTATTTTACCCTGAAGAATGGTTAGGTGAACCGACTGAATAATGGGATCTCATGAGAACTAGTGGTTGTTCCATCATAACCAATGGCTATCCGAAACGATGGTGGTATGAACATTCCAGATCTGGAGTTACATTCTTGGTGCTTCCCAGCCGTCTCCTTGAACTTTTAGGTTTATAGTTGGCTTTAGTGGTTGGGTTTCCGTATTGAGCCCACTTTGTTTCCCCTTAAGGAGTTTCATGCTTGCCAGTTCAATGCGGCTGGAAGCCTGTGGTGCGCCAGTGGGCTGCCAATCTGGCCAGTGCGCCCCCATTTGCCCTAGCTAAAATTGGCAAGAAACAAGCAGCACGCGCTTTCTGCGTTGGGCTGCTTGGAGGAAAGCACTCACCCGCCACTTGCCATACAAATTAATTCTGTCTTCGGAGTCTTCGGCTGTGTCGCCGGTGACCTTGCAAGTGCATCAAGCGGGACAAACCATTACTCTATTGGTTGAGGGGGGTTGCACCTGAACCAGCCCTGGCAAATGCCTCATGCTTGTTGGAGGTCCTCACCAAAACAAAGAACAGCATCGAAGATCGGAAACAAGCAGGAGCATTAAACAAAACAAACGCCTAGTGCGCTTGGGTTGCTGTCCTTCCAGGTGCACCCTTGCTTTACGCGGCTCTCACTTCGAAGCCAAACACGACACCCAGTGCATCCCAAAGGTGGCCAGCAGAACGCGTCCAGTGCCAAGCAGTTGGGAACAAACACCAAAACGGCGAGCCCGCCTTTGGAATTCAAAATTCGGAGGCGACCTTTTTCACCTCGGGAAGTCGGTTAAGTAAAACCAAATGTTTGGGGGTCCCAATATTTGTTTACAATCCCCATGGGTCCCCTCCCCTATCTTCCATTTGCTTCAGCCGCCCGAAAAAAATATGAAATGTTTCCGGTAGTGATAGATTGCCTTTAAAACCAACCAGGGAAACAAACATATTCTTGAGCAAATGGCAGTTATACAGTCATGGGGCACGTTTCGTTTCGGGCCTTGCCCCCGTCGCACAGGAAGTCCTTCAGATCCAGAGTCTGGCCAAAGACGACCTGACATGAGCTAGATGGCTATGGCTCATGTTGAGGGTTCCTGGACCCTCCAACTGCCCATAAAAAGGGAAATCCATTTTTTTTGGGGCAATCCCCCATGTTCATGGGTAGTTTGAGGGTTCAGGAACTCTTCTTTAGGCAGGTTAAAGCGAAACCAACAGCAAACCACCATTTTGGGGGTTAAAATCCCCAAAACCACCAACCCAAACCACCGATTAAGGGATACCTGAGGGATTGAACTTTGATCTGTCTAACAAAAAACAAACTGAGTAAACCTCACATTCGAGAGTAGCACTTGCTTCCGCAGAAGTTGACCACGCCCCTGATTCAATGGTCTTTCAAGACTCCCAACGTCCTCAGAATCATAATGAACAACTTTTGGGACCCACAGTGCGTGCTGAATAAGGGCCTGCTATTTCTATTCGAGATAGTTTTGCTCGTGTTCGATAAATCGATCTCCATCTGTCGGGGTCAACCCCGCCAAAAACCCTCGACCTGCAATGATGATCTGCAGTTTTTATTTTTTTGAATTGGCCTCATCCATAACGGTTGACCAGCATGATGCCTGAATTCACGTGGATCCCGCTGTGTCCAAAAGCAAAGGGCTCGCCTCGTGCGCGCCCCACCGAAATCATATGAATCCGGCCTCGTTGAAGAGCTTGTAGCTGGCTCCCTCGCTAGTGTGGAACCGCTTCAACTGCAGAACCTCGCTGGTTTCATCCGAGAAAAGGACAAAGCAA